AGTTCCAATATGATAGTTCCAACCATATTTTCCATAAATGTGAGGAGATTTAATGTAGAAGATGAAATTTTCCAGGAATAGGTCAATATCTTGGATGGTGATCCCTGACATTTACCAGGGAATAAATCAGGAAGTCTAATAAAACTAGTGCTAATTGATGCCTTTGTATGTATGTTAGGTACATTCAAGTGATGCCATTTTTAGGTAAAGGAAAATCCAAGAACAAATTATGTCCTTGAGATCACACCTATCAGACCATCAGTCTTTGCTGTAAGAAATTCAAGTTCTGGCCCATTTTAGGTTTAAGCACATAACTATTTTATTGTCTTGAATAGGAGTACTTTGGTCATCAAAAATTTGAAATCTGTGGATTTTCACAAAGCTGTTGAAAGTAGCTTTCACCAGACAACTGCCTCTGCTGAGAAAAATGCAAAGTTTTATGTTTGCATAAGGAGCCAGGACTGGAAACTTCTTTCATTGTTCCATTTTTTTTGTATCTATTCAGCTTGTGAGATTTCAGGAATCTGCAAAATTTGAACTCCAGCCGCACTCTTCCAGCATTATCATTACAGTGTCCACATCTGGGTTCCAGACACTATCTACATGTGCTTGTTTTTCCAGGATGATACTTCCTCTCTGCCTACAATTAGGCAGTGCTGTTCACTGTCTAATTGTAGATAACTTATTAAACATATGGAATAAAGGGATAACTTTTTTTCCTAGTAAAGTTTAATTTATTGATATGAAGTACAGAGATATTCTGCTATGATTATCAAAATGAGTTTTACAAAATCAACATTTAATTTCCCTTCAAATTAGAGCATTTAGGATTAGTACATTGTCCAGTTTCCTAGTGTAGAAGCAGTAAAATCACAAAACATCTTTAGATCCTTTTGCAGTCCTAATGAAAGTCCTTGTTGTCTTGAATAAGGGGGCTGTTCATACACTTTTGAGCGTGACAGCACCATTTCAAATGTTGTCTTCTGCTATAGCTGCAGCCAAAAAGCTCTTAATGGTAAGGCAGTAAGACATTTTAAGACATTTGGTCTTAGCAAGTAGTATTTTGTTCTTTCAACAAAAAATCCCAGATAAAACAAACCAAATAAACAACACATTCCCTCCCCAAAAAAAAAGAAAATGAAAAGTTCTTCCACCCCAAATTCTGGAGATCTGTAAATGTGTTTTGCTGGTGGAAGTATTTCACATCACACTACCTTTCTTCTGTTTCTTTGTTTATCAAGAGGTAGGAAAACAGATTTTTTTTCCCTTTCTCTATTAATTTTTCCAGATTTTTTTAGAGCTTGAGAGCCCTTGGCTGCCATGGAAAAATACTGGAACTTTCCATATAACAATGCAAAGACTTCAGTGACAATGGGATTCAGGTAAAACTCTGTCTTTTTCTTGGTGTTCCCTGGAAGCCCCTCTAGTTCATTAAATTAACCATATCCAAAACTGATCTTGTTATGTTCTGCATGTGACATGTTCTGCATCCTTCATTCTTCATAACACCATTATACATCAAAAATTTCCCCCCTTTTATTCCTACAGCTCCATGTGCCTGAGATCCATTCAATTTTGGCTTGAAAAGGGTGAATAGGGGGCATTTTTTTGCTGTTCACTTCCATGCAGAACCTAGTGGGCATGAAACCAACTTGGTTTGAAAATTCAGAATGAAGAGGAAATAACTGTTTCTGAAATGTATGGTTAAACCATGAAATTCCTCGTCCTTATCACAGGTTGCTTGAAGTTTACCAGAATCCTTCTGGAGATCTGACAAACTCATAGATTTACTTTGTATTTGTTTTTGGTTTTACTTTGTATTTCAAAACAGTATGATAAATAAACACTAGCAGGTAACTTTATAGTAGTAGAAAGAACCATCTATCTTGTTAGGAATTGACATCCAAATAAGAGTACTTTTTTTTGTAACTGAGAATCATTCCTAATTATATATAATAGAAATGCTTAAATAATATATTTTTAATGTTATCAATTTCATGTCCATAAAGCGTTGCAGATTATAAAGCTGAAGGTACAGCCAAAGCCATCACATAACCCCAGTCCTCAGCTTCTACATTTTTTCCATTACAAATCTTCAACATCCACCATTTTATAGCCATATATTGTAAAAAATGAGTCAGTTGTTGTACCACAAGAGCTACATCTGGATTGAATCTTGTTGCTCAACATACACGTCAGGCCATTTGCTTCTCTAGGAATAATTCTCACTCGTCTTTCATGAATGTTCTGTGTAAAGATGTTTTTACTAATGACCAAGTATGTACATCTTGTGTACCTCATGGAAAGTTGTGTGGTGCCAGTGCTGCTGCTCTCAGAGGAGAATATTCACTTTTGTGTTGTGTCATGCTCATGGCCAAGAAGCTTTTTCAGGTGTCTTATTACACAGAGGAAGTTAAAAAAAAGTCTGTTAAAAAGAAGTGTTTCTGCTTTCCCTGCTTGCCAAATGAATTTGAACTTTTTTTGAGGAAAAAAGCAGCAGCAGGGAGCACATGTAGGAGTTGCAGAAGCCCTGTTTTCATGGATCTAAGGAAGGCAGAAGAAATAAAAAGAGAGAGAGTAGCTCAAAACAAAATGACAAGTCTTTTTTTGTAAATTGAATCAAAGGATATGATGTATGGAAAATTTGCAGAGAATAATCCCACTGTAATCACACTGCCTGTCCCCAGGTACTATAACAGAATGTAAACACTTATGAGATCTCATATTTTGAAAACAGGATCCTTGTTCATTCATAACCCAGATGATGCTCACTTAATGAACAGCAATTTAGTATTTGACCTTTTAATTGAAATTTGTGTGTGTCCTCAGGCCTTATTTATACAGAACTAAAATTGTGCAATTAAGTTAGAAAATTACATATTCTTCACATGGCATTTGACTTTTATAGTGACTAAATGTCTTGCAAACATAATTTATCCTCAACCTCATCTGTTATTTTCTCTATAGGTATATTACCAGGGATACAGAGATGAAGCAAGCAAAGTTCCATCTCTTTTGATTGCAAATGTAATTTGAATGCTATTTGCAAAAGCATGTAGGGGTAGACTTAAAGTTAAGAGCAAATTCAGAACCTAACTTTGAAGGATATTTTAAATAAGTATGTGGACAAGCTATGCTAGTAAAAACAAGATAAACATATCTAACAGACATTGAAATCTTGGATTCAGCTTGTGTTACATACCCTAGCTGAGAATGTAGTGATTAAGTCATCACATCTGAGGCCTAATTCTGAAAGAAGTGCAGTTTCTCTTGCACATGGATGAAAAACATTTAGTTGCTGGGTGTAGAATGTTTCTGTATTACAGGTGAAAAACAGCCTATAAATCCAAGATTGGAATAGGAAGGGTAGAGAAGCCAATTAATATAAATTCTGAATTTTCCACTTTAACCAATCCTAGGTTCAAACGCTGACACTAACATTTTGTAAAATAAAACAAGGACCCAAAGGCCAAGAAAAACTGCCTTAATATAGCTGTATCAATAGACAAAAAGAAAATTAAACCAGAATAAAGATATAGACAAAAATCTTAAAAGTATGGACTATGACAAAAAAAAATCAGATCTGATAAGCTTCTTTGCATCTGTTTAGGTAAAACTTAGGAAGATCACACAGAAACACATAATCTTTTGTCATAATAAAAATAATATTTTCTAGTGATCAATCCTGTGTTATTGTGTGAGTTCCTATATAACACAAGGAAAAATTAGCTGTGTTTTAGTGGCAATAGTCTGATTGCTGCAGAGGTAATTTTTTTCAGAATGATAAATACATGACATAAGTGCAAAATAAATACATGCATTTTTGTGTCTCTGTGTGTGTACACATTTTGTTTATCCGTGTGGTGCTTAGTCTTTTTACATCAGGACTAATTCTTGAAAGCTTTGAAAAGCTTCATGCAGCCAGTGTTTTTTTTATTCAATATACTATATGTACTTCCTTGTTTTCCCTGTAGAGGTAGAATTGCTATTCCAGTAAATGGCAAATTACTCTGGCCTTAGGCCAAGATTAGCAGGCCTGGAACCCAGCTCAGTGACACATTTAGGGCATCTCACCAGGATTTTAGGCTGGATATGACAGAGGAGGAGAGATTCTGACTGAAGCTAAAGCTCTGGTGGAGCTGCAGGCTGTCCTGCGATCCTCATGTCGTGAAGGTGAAGAAATGTGATTTTAGGCATCTCTTTTCAAGAGGTTTCCAGAGAAGGTTTCAGTAGAACGTCTAAATTCTCTTTGTAAGCCTAGAAGTGATGGTTTTCAGGCTGGGAAAAGATTCAGGCTGAAAGGTAAAAAAAGTTTCAGAGTGCAAAGGAGAAAAGTATATTTTAAGAATCTAAGTGACCTTTCACAGGAGTTCTATTGCTATTTTCTAAGACTACCTGCTTTACAGAATATATGAAAAAGCTAATATTTGAGTTATAAAGGTGCTGGAATTGGAGACAGTATTATCTGCAAATGTTTATTCACTCTAAAAACTGGGTTAGAAATTGTAGTCAACCAGCATGACAGTTAACTGGCCTGAGCTCCACAGAGCGAATCTGAGCCCAGAACTCTTGAGTGGCAGTCCTGAGATTCTTACCCATTCTCTTAAAAAAAAAAAAAGGTTTAAAAAAGGTTTATACAGAGACAGTTTTCTGTTAATTTAAAAGAGAATAAAAAGAAAAGGAAAAAGTTATTATGCACAAAACTGGGCATTTGTAGAGAGCAGTAAAATGAATTTATTTGGGCCTGGTTCTCTAAGCACAACATTTTACCTTCTGGGTTTTGCTGAATTTGAAAAACTCAAATTCAACATATTTTAATATATACATTGGAACTTAGATAAATGTTAGTCTAATAAACCCACAGTATAATATATAAACAATTAAAAATAGCCCCTTAATGTGTTTCTTCTTTTTCTAGTTACATTCCCAGTCAATGGCAGAATGACTTCACTACTAATGAAGGGTACCTGGAGAACTGAAGTGTCTGAAGTGGATCAAAGGATTGGTGTACAAGCATTGTAATTGAGTTCTGCAAGGGCACAGAATACCTGGAACACTGCCACATCTCTTCCTGCCCTCAGCTGACAGATGAAGCTGTGAAAACAATGGCATTTCACTGCCACAGGCTGACATCTGTCAACATAGGAGGTTGCCCGAAGCTATGCACAAGAAATAGGGTGATGGTTCTGGGATTGCTATTGCAGAGAATTACTATTTCATCCAGAAATTTGACCTGCTGGCATCATTCAGCTACTTCTCTGTGAGTTTTAAGATTTGAGACTTGCCTCTTGGGAGTATTTGGCATTCCTCTAATTTTTGCAGGTACAGTATAAAGGTGTCCACACTGTATCAGGTAAGTCTTTCTCTCCGGGGGTTGATGTCTAAACAAGGGTGAAGAGAGAAGATCTTTCACATTATATATCACTTCTGCAAATATTCTCCCAGGTTCTGGTGTATTGGGTGCTTTGAAAAGGTTGTGGCTTTGTTTAAATTAGTTTTTATATTTTCATGATTTGTTTTTCTTCCCAGTGCTTTTTCTGAACCCAGGTAAAGCATAAACTGGGGCGTTAGAACTTAATACCTGTGTCTTTACATGGCAAGGCAGTAGCTACTATGAAATAAAAGAGGTGCTTCAATGGTGAAGCACTCAGGGTTGAAATTAAATTATTTAGATTAAGATTCATCTGTAGTGAAACTTAGTTCCTCTTTACCATGAACTTCTATTAAAGCATTTTTGCTTCTTGTATTTTCTGTATAATTTCTTTTTTACTAAAGGCTGGCATCTCAATTATCTTCTTGCTGCATCTGAATGTGTGTTCTGTTTTGAAATTATGCTGTTATGAAAGCCTATGTCCCTTCCCTGCACTTTCTGACTTATTAGCTCTGGCTTTTGTTCATTTAATTACTTATGCAGTTTTAATTTTTTTAACAGCAAAAAAAATATACTCACTTAATTTTGAAAATAAGCATACAAACACAATTTTTAAAATGCTGGTTTCATTTTTCGTTTAAATTTCATGGGAAAAGCCACTCAATGAAGCAGTTTTCCTCATTTTTCCTCATTGAAATGCCCATGTCCTGTTTCCTTCCACAATGTCTGCAGCCATCACTTGTCCCTGCCTTCCTCCTCACCAACACCCATCTCCATAACCCCTGACTATTCTTCCCGTCCTACACACATCCCCTCATTCCCTGCAGTGGCTGAACACAGCCCCTGCACAACTAATTTGAAATTATTTGGCCAACTAATTAGCCAGCCCTAAATTTAGATATTCTCTGATCAAGTTGTTTGCCTTCCAAATGTACATAAGTTTCTCAGCCTCTAAGCCAAAGCTCACTGGCTGTGTTTCAGATCTGGAGGCCACTCTCTATCTTACCCTAGCCCTTGGTTTATATCTTACAGATACCACTGCCCACCATAATTATTATATACATGGGTCCTAACCTCCTGTGTCCTTTGGGTTTAGATAGAGATTCAGCTATTTTTCCACAATGACAGTGGTAATAAAAGTTGTGCACAGAGGTCTTCCCAAAGAACTTGAAGTATGTGGTGCTGCCATCAGTCCTGTCTGCCCAACATGACATACCAACACAGGAAAACAAAACAAAACAAACCATAAAATGTCAGTAAATACATTTAGGCTGGCAACTGGGAGATGGGGAAAACTGTTAAGGAATGTTGCTATGGCTCTTGGTAAGGAATGGACTGGGTTGTATTTTGCAGTTCCTGCAAATGGGAAAAATGAGTCAACTCAGTGACCCAGCAATCCCCTTCCAACACTTTGTTCCTAGATGGTATCTTTTTTTAAACACTTATAAAGCTAATCTGTTAAATGCTAATACCCTACTATTTTCAGAAAAGAACATTGAGACTCTTCCACATAAACCTACCCATAAGTTTACAAGTCTTTGTTTGACTTGAATCCAGCTTGCAGCTCCATAAAATGAGATGGGTACACCTGTGGATGTTAAAGCTAATGGGTCTTACAAATCCTTTGGCAATCTGTAGTGTAAATTGAGGGTATCCAGCTGCTAAGTGAAGAAATATTTTCCACTCAGAAACTGTTTAAAAATGGTCAGGCGATTAAAGTTGGAATGAACCTGTTCCAAAGGATATGTGTTAATGTGTCCTGCAACACCAGGTATCTTATTTTTAAGAAAAATAATTTTAAAATTAATATAGAAATATTACTATATAATAAAATATTAGATCAATATAGAAATAGATGTACATTAAGGATATTTTGAATGTGCTATGCATGTTATTCTAAAATTAGAAGAGTTTATAACTTTAATCCTATATTCTGAGGCAAATCAATTGTCTTTCAACAAACTCCAGTGACTTCAGTGGAGGTGCTGTAAGTCTCCATGTCATGGTTCTGTATGCCTAGGGCAGGTACAAGTAATTTTTCAAATGCTGATTGTATAAAATATTCAGCAGTTCTGTTCTGAGCCTTATTCAGGGAATGAGCCTGATTCAAGGGTAATTCTTATTTCATAGGAAAAAAAATGAAATTGTTGTGGGAAATATTCTACACATGAAAAAATACAGCAAGAACTGAAAATAGATCTCTGGTTAAATGAATTGGCCTTTTAAATAGCTAAGGTCTGAAGATACAATAGAATGAATAATGAATTCTGTCATTTAGTCCTCTAAAGGGAATAGGATCCAGCATATGACAAATGTAGATTTTTCTAAATGCATCTGATACCAGTTATGACTGACTTCAGAGTCTGCAACTTTTTTAAAAATAAGAATATGAATCTACTTAAAAATATTTTGACTTATTTATTAATTTATTGTAGATCTTAATATTGAGCATATAAATAGATCTGGAATAAGTAAAGCCACATGTGCATTACTCTACATACCAGGGGGACTATCATGAGATAGTGTGCTAGCTTTTTGTTCCACAACCCCGGGCCCCAGCTTTATCTTTATCTTGTCCCTTATAGATTCTCATGAGATTGGCTGTTTAGTACAAGTGAAAGCCTCATCTCTCTTTCTACCACCCCGCTCCAGTGATTTTAATCAAATGTCTACAACAGGTTTTTACTATGTTCCCTCTGGATTTTTGGTCCTGAATGAACAAAGTAATTAAAGTGTGTGCATAATGTATCCTTGACTGCTCCTGTTGAGGTCAGTGGAGCAATTATTAGCTTGCATGGCTGCTTATGTACCTTGAAGACTGTGTTTTTCTCAAATGCAACTTCCAGCATTAAGGGCAATGAGTATCAGTTCCTGAAAAATAGACTTGTGAGGTGAAACTAAGGAGTTGTGCTTCAGAGCTAAAAAAAACAACCACACATTCAAAAAGTCTTGGTGTGAGACACTCATTTGTAACAGAGAACTGAGTTTAAAAAGTGATACAAGTGCATTCTAGTAATTTAGAGAGATCAGTGCAATAGCAAGAATACTAAAGGCTTCTATGTGCTGCATGCACATATATGGGTGAGAAAGTTAAACCATTCTCAGTAGGTGAAAAAAACCCCACAATATTTAAAACTAGACTGCAATCACAGTTAACTAATATCTAATATTAGAAAGTGACAGTTTCTGCTGAGCCTCTTACAGAGATTCAGAATTCTGCTGTGCCAGAAACCTTACTTCAATTTTAAAACATTTTTCCTACCAATCAGACACTAAAGTTGTGCTCTGGGCATTTTTTTTTTCATCTATTCAATCATCTTCTAAATTTTGCATGTCTTGTTGCTTCATTTACAGATGATTGATAAATGTATCCAATACTTGGCTCCAGCCTGCCATTATCTCCCCTTGGATGTCTCAGGTTGTATTCATCTTGCTGACAGTACTCAAAATTTCTTTGGAAAGGCTGTGAGCAACACCAGATTCTCACAACACTGTACTGTAGAAAAATTGCCAAGAAAATATTTCCTAGACTTACTTCAGAGGAGGTTGTAAACCCCAAAACATGAGGTTCTTTTCTTCACTGGCATCATGGTGCCATGCTAGGTATCTGCCTTGACCCATCTACTTCTTTATCTAGGGGGTGTCCCTGTTGGTGCCTTGGGACTCCTGTGGTCTGGCAGGGTTATCTGCATATTCCAGTGCCAGCCAGAAGTGAATAGACTCCATCTCTTTATGGCAGACAATGTCCTCTTAGGGATGTTTCTGCTGACAAAGGACACTACCTCAAGGACACATGGGAACATGAATGAGAAAACCAGGCTGGGCTTAATGCTCTCAGCCATCTCACTGTGTACCTGAGCTCACTCCAGGGGTCTGTGGGATCCTGTTTCCCAGTGACTGAATGTCAGTACATGGCAGGAGATGTGTGCCTGTGCTCAAAACACAGCACAGTTACAGCGAGCGAGTCAAACTGCGGAGCTGTGACCACTTTCCCAGGTTGGTTTTTACTGACCAACCTCTAAGAACCTCCTCTTAAAGTTCAATCTGACCTTCCCCTGACAGGGATTGTGCACTATGATTGGTCAGCCCTTCCCCCTCAGTCTTCCCTTCTCCAAGCTGAACAAGCCAAGTGACATAAACTGCTCCTTCTAATTCTTGTGCTCAAGATATTTCACCATCTTGGTCACCTTTCTCTGGACACTCTCTAACAGTTTAATGTCTTTTTTATATTGTGGGCCCCAAAGTGGCTCCCAGCACTCGTGATGAGGCCGCCCCAGTGCAGAGCAGAGCAGGACAATCCCCTCCCTTGCCAGCTGGCCATGCTGTGCCTGATGCCCCCAGAACACGGGTGGCCCTCCTGGCTGCCAGGGCTCTGCTGGCTCACTTTCAACTTTCCATAGACCCAGACTCCCAGATCCCTTTCTGCAGGGCTTTTTTTCCAGCCTTTCATCCCCCAGTGCATGTGTATAACCAAGTTTACCCCATCCCAGGTAAAGAATTGAGTATTTGCTCTTGTTCAGTTTCATGCAGCTGGCAATTGCCCAGCTCTTCAGTCTGTCCTGATCTCTCTGTAGCTCCTTTCTACCCCGTAGTCTTGTTTAGTATCATTGGCACACTTTACATTTAATTCCTGCATCCAGATAATTTATAAAAACATTACAAATTGAGCACTGGTGTCTGGCCACTAACCTGATATAACCTCATTTACTGTAACCCTTTGAGCCCAACCTGTGAGCCGGTTGATCACTTATGGACTTGCCCAGCTGAGTTCTGGACGGTTTATCCAGGATACTTTTGGAGACAGTATCAAAAGCTCTGCTAAAATCCAAACCCACCATATCTACTGGCCTCCTTTGGTCAGCTAGGTGGGTGACCTTGTCATTAAAGGAAGGCCTCCTTTGGTCAGCTAGGTGGGTGACCAAAGTAATTATTTAAGTTTTATTAAGTTGGTTAAGCAGGACTTCCCCCGCTGTGAACCCACGCTGGCTGTGCCCAGTAACTGCATTGTCTCTCAAATATTTCTCAGTTAGTCTCAGAATAACCTTCTCTATAATTTTACCAGGCACTGAAGTGAGATTGGAAGGCCTGTAATTGCCAGAGCCTTCCTTCTTACCCTTCTTAAAAATTGTGAGAACTGAGTTTTCACCTGTGAGTCTCAAAAGATGTGGATTCAATGCCCACCACCCTTCCAGGGGGGTTAAGAGTGTTACAGACCAGGCCCTGTACACCCAGAACAGCACAGTAGCCAGACATGCCACAGGGCCTGAAATTGGAAAGGAACTGAAGTTTAGACATGGTTGATATATCTGAGTATATAAATTAATAAAACTTTATGAGAGTAAGAAATAGATGATACCATCCTATATAGACAGCCTATACTAGGAGAGCTCTAACTGTACTCTAACAGGTCCTCTGGAAGTACTGCACTTCCTGCTAAGCCATTCCAGGGTTCAATAGCTGCTTTAGAGACCACAATATGCATACTTAATAACTCAAAAGGTATTTCTCATGTGCTTCACACTTTCCAAATCCTCCTTTACTGTTGCCCTGTCTTACCACAAACAATTCTGCTGTCATTGGTCTTATTTTCTTCACTTCTCTCAGATGTATTTTTCTCAATGTCATCTCAGAACTTCCTCCTTAAAATCTCTACTTCTTATTAAAAACTTGTTAGATACAGAAAGTGCTTTGAAAGATTGGTATACAACAGTAGTAATTGAAAAAAAAAGTTAAATTAATTCAGATTCATTAAATCTCTTCATAATTTTCTGATTTACAGTTTTTCTTATAATAAGCCTCAAGGGATCTTCTTTTATCTTCAGATTACTGTTGTTGACTTGTTTATTCTGTGACTTCATATATCTGTTTAGAGCAGCAACAGTTTGTCTGATTCTGCTTGCCAATCCATCTTCCTGTAGAAGTGAGATGTACTGGGGACAGAAATTTGTGCAAATTCCAGTTTCTGTTGGGTGAGCCATCATCAAGGAGCTGACATGACTTCTCAGAAACCCATTTGCATTATCCTGGCCTGGGATGACCCAGGATTTTGCCTCTGCCTACGAGTCCCATGTGCAGTGGGTTCTCCAAAGGTCTTGATTAAACTCTTCTAAACCCAGCCAAGGAATTTCCCAACCAGTTATTTTTACTCTAAAGATAACCCTGGAGAGTTACACATCTTTGCAAAACAAAAAGGCAAACATGAGGCACACGTCTCCACCCTCTGTTATCTTTGCCCTTTTTGTGATGTTTAGAACTAGGTAAACTTTGCCAACTTTATTTTCTTTCTTCTTTATTTTCTCATTTTCTGAACAGTGGATGTTTTTTTCCCTTGCCAACCCCAGCCTCTAACCCTTCACACCACATATTCAGTGATAGGAAACTCCCATCCTGCAGTCTGGGGTAACACTTACTAGGTGGATTGATTATGCAGAATAATGCAGTCTTGAACATTTTTTCCTTGTTCCTTTCAACAGGTCCAAAGATATCCCATCCTAGACTTTGCAAGGCCACAGAATATACTGGGAATTCTTGAACATTTTTTCCTTGTTCCTTTCAACAGGTCCAAAGATATCCCATCCTAGACTTTCAAGGCCACATATATACTGGGAATGATATTCAGAAGATAAAAGTGAGTTCAAAGCAAGATTCTGATAGGTTCCACATCCTGCATGTTTCCCACTTTCAGAATTATTACCACAGAATATACTGGGAATTATATTCAGAAGATAAAAGTGAGTTCAAAGCGAGATTCTGATAGGTTCCACATCCTACATGTTTCCCAGTTTAGGAATTTTTTTTTTCCTAAATTGCAGTTCAAGGTCAATATGGCAACAATGATAAAAATTTTATCTTCTGCCAATAACTGCATCAAAAGCACAGGCAGTATTGTCACTGTCACATATTTCTATAAAACTATGTGTTTCTTTCACAACCTGTATGTTTATAGTAATGAATGACAAGCAAAAGATTGTCAGAAAAACCAAAAATGGGCCCTAATTCTCTGCTTTCAGACTAACTCTTAAAACCATATTCAGGTTCTTAGATTTTCATAGAAGGTAAAGGCTGGTTTCAGGTGTAATTTATGTTCAGAGGGTGTGAAACCTACATAGTAGAGAAATTTCATTCCCTGTTTAAGGAAATGTAAGAAGCAATCTAGGTAAAAATCACACTCATCTAGAGAATTAAAGATGCTAGTGGCTTAGGTTCTAAATAAGCAACAGAAGAAATATGTTTTTAGTTTAAAGTTGCCTTAAAATATCTGTGGCATAAAATATTACTTCATTGTTCCAAAGGAATTCCCCATTATTTATTGTTAAACACTAACCAGTCCTAGCAGACATTTCTTAATAGACTAAACGTTACAAGTATTGAGTCATATCTCTTGTATTGTGCACACTATTTTTGATTTTTTATTTTTACTGTTTTGATAGATTAAAATAGAAAACATGTGGAGCCACAAAGGTCTTCAAGTTTCAGTCCAATGCAGCTTCATAAGAAACAGTTATGGGCTTTCAATTGTTCATTCTTTCCAGTATCAAGTAGATTTTGAGATTATATTTGCCAACATACTGCCCTGCTTCCAGGTTTAATAAATATTAGAAAGAAAAAAAGGTCTGTGGCCTGGTATCCTGCTGCATATTTCTGTAGCCAGAGGCTAATGACCTTTCAGTTAATCCAGTTTCTAAATGGCAGAAAGAATCGTGGATAATCTAATGTGGAAGTACATAGTGCTGGTACAATTGATTTCTTCTGCTAGAGAAAAAACAGCCTAACTCACTGCTTTCTAAAATGTAGGAAAAGGTTGTGTCAGTTTGATTTCCTTAAGACTACTCCTACAGGAAATAACACACTGGCATCTTTAGAGAAATGCTTCTGTTCCCTGTAAAACATTCTGTGTTAATATTTCTAGATGCAACATGAGAAAGGAAACATGTCATTGACAGAGAAGCCAGCTAGTCTTGTAATTTCCCCAACCTACATCTCATCTTAACAGTCTGGTTCCCCGAAAAGATCTTCTTAAATAATTCAAAATTAGGTGCTTCCTTCTTTCTGGTCTGCACTAACATAAAGCTGGTTACATTTCTCCTAAACTCATAACTATGCTATTAACAAGTAACTCATCAATAATTCCTCGTACAATTTTTGCCTTTTAAACCAAAATTACATTAGGTCTTAATAGTTACAATACATTTTACATTTGGAGAAGATTTTTTTTTGTTTTGTTGTTGTTATGCTTTCTAATAGCTGCTGTTGGTTAGAAAGGAGATTGCAAGAACTCTTTTTTTCCTGACAAAGCAGAATTTCTTAGATGTTATCCAAATATTCAGGTTTCAGGGCAGGAAAGATCCAACAAACATGAAATTGGAAATGAAGACCCCCTGCACATGATTTGGTAAAAGATGAACAATTACTCCTAAGTCTTCTGTTTAACAAGCAACAAAAATACAGTACTGCCTTCTCACTGACTGTAATTCTCTTTTTGGAAGTGACACAGAGGGTCCTGGAGTGCCATGCTTCAGCCACTGAGTGCACATGAACCAGACGCCATAAAATGATAAAATTACTGCAGCTGACATGGACCTCAGAATACTTCAGATCCTATGTAGACTTACCACACTTTGTAACCTGGAGCATGCCTGCAGAATGCTTCCTGCTTTTCCCATTAGCTCCCTGCCTCTATTTGTTTAATTTCTCCTGTATTTGCATGACAAACATTTCTCCCATGTTTGAGTTTTTATTTTCCATTACTTTTTACTGTTGATTGGTTTCTGTAACCTCAGCTCAATAAGTTTTTTTTTTTCAAAATCTCTGCTTTTTCTTATGATGGACCCAGTCAAACAGGAACAGACTCCCCAGGCCAGTGGTCACAGCACCAGCCTGAGAGTTCAAGAAGCGTTTGGATAATGCTCTTGGGCAAATGGTGTGACTCTTGGGAATGGTGCAGTGAGTTGGACTTGATGATCCTGGTGGGTTCCTTCCAATTCTGCACATTCTGTGATTCCGAAAAATTGTTGAATTTTGGAATGGCTCAGGATTCAGACCATGTTGCAGAACTCTATTTCCCAGTTACCCCCTGTCAGTAAAATGGATTCAAACTTTGGGTAAGGATTCAATTAGGTATTCCAGTGCTGCTCAAGCCCTGTGTTTGGGCCAGTACTTTTGTCTGACTTATAACAAGAGATAGTTGGTTTGCCAAAGATAACTGTAATTATTGGCTGAAAGACTTTTATTCATCAATTGGCTCATTTAAGACAGTAAATAAATAAATAAATAAAATAATCAGGCTCTATCATAGTACAGTATATCTTAAATAAACAATCTTTTTACCATGTGTTGATGATTAATGAATGGCTGTTTCTGGCAAACCACTCAACTGTAGCTCCAGGCATTGGGACATCATAAGTTTCCAAAGAAGTAGTAACAGCTCCCCTCATACATGCTTCAGACAGCCGCTATACATTGCAGTTTCCATGAAAAACAGGAATTTGGACTTGGATGAGTTGATTTTTTATAGGTCAGAGCTTATAGCTCATATAAATTGTGCACACATTCCTCAATGGCACAGGCCTCCCTAATATAAAAACAGATGCAGCCTTGTGTTCCTGTGGTTCATAGAGTGTGTCAGTGTTGGACATTTTATAAAAAAAAATATCCTGCAGTGGTTGAAAACAAGCCCTTCTTGCTTCACTAATTCTGTCCCTTTTCCACTCCTGCCCACTTCCCCTTTCCTGCTCTAGTGGTGCAAGCATTATAGCTGGGCACATCTGCCCCTTGTAACCATCTCCAACATTTCCACTTTGGGAAACAAACACAAAAAACACTGTAGCAACATTATTGGCAGATAACAGAGCACTTCAATTTGGATTTTTTCCCAGTATTGTCTGGATGCTGTATATTATATTTTTCCAGAGCTTAGGAGTTGGCCAGCAGGGAGAAAGCCTGCCTTGCTGTGGCTGTGACACACCAGATCAGGTTGAATCTCCTGGAGAGGATGGGAGCTGCAGAGTTGGCTCTTCCCCAGGAGCTCTGGAGCCCGCTCAGCACAGGGGGGTTTCTGGAGAGCAGAGCTGGCAGGAGGGTGCTCTGCTCAGTGGGCCTGGGCTGGCAGCCAGGTCACACAAGGCATGGAAAGAAAGAGACATTCACAAGACTGCAAGTGGTGGGTTCCGTTTCTTCAGCTTGGGAAGGTAATGAAAATTGCTGGATTGACACTGCCGAAAAAGAAGGGAGAGTTGCTCTCCTTATTTTAGAGTGTCTCACTCAGGAGGCCTGATTTTCTCAAATTTTGATCTAGTTTATTAGTTTGGTGTTCTAATTCTGCAAAAGGGCAGTGGCCACAAAATGTTGAAGGGGATCTGAGGGGTTATGGGTAGGTTTGGGCATCACAGACAACTCCCTTCTGGTTCAGCTCTCACAGAAACTCCAAAACACAGCCTTGGGGCAGAGCCAGTGCCAGTAAATGCAGGTAACCATAAGGCTCCTGTGGCACTGTCCATCGTGTACTCAATTCCATTTCTGAAACAATACATGTTAAAGGAAGTGGGTGACAGAAGACACCTACAGTAGAGGCTGGCCAAAAAGCAAGCAGAAGGTGAATGAAGAAAGGGTAAAAATACTTGGAGGTGCCACAGACACTGGTTCAAATAGAAAAACAGAGAGAGGGACCTGTGCAGTAACTACAGCCTTCCTACAGAGCTATGAGAAAACATCTTGGAAATGCTGTAATACCTTTGGATGTAACTGGTTTATTTATCTTGTTTGGTTTTATATTTTCTTTCAAAGAGATTGTTATTATTTCAGTGGCATCACCCTCTCAGATGTGTGTTCAGGCAGATGCTGGCACACTAGAGAAAGTGTGGATAAAGCCCACAAAGACCATTAAAGTGCTGGAGCATGTGATGAATGAAGAACCTTCAGAGAATTGCTTTGCTAAGTCTCAGGAGAAGATTCGAGATGGAGGAGAACTTATTGCTGTCTCTAACTCTCATCAGAGCATACAGAAGACAAGACAGAGCCAGACAATTGTCAAAGGTGCACTGATAGGACAAGTGGCATATATAAAGTTCTGATTCTGACTACAAGGAAACTTTAATTTTTTTAACCAGGAAGCTGGCCAAACTGTTGAAGATCCCAGAGACTGTACAACCTTCATCCCTAAAGATATTCAGAACTCATCTGGCAAAGCCATGACTCACCTGGAATAGCTGGATACATTTAAAGCAACATCAGGTTGAAACACTCTCCAGAGACCTCTTCCAACGCAAATCATTCTGTGACTCTATGACCTAACCAATTATCTTCTGGTTTACTTTCCTCAACACCCTTATAATATTGATAGCTTTAGTTAAAACAAAGAACTTTTCCTCATTAAAATGTTTTTAGTGTTCCTTGTAAAAACCGCCTCTGAAAAGTTTTGTCATTATTATTTTTAAACTCTTGTTGCAGACAAGCTGTCTTGAAAGACACAGCTGAACTGGAGAAACAGGAACATAATGATGCTGACCAGCCTTCCTGGCTTAATATGTCTGGGATGGCAACATAACCACCTTCACCAAAAAACACAGATCAGAGCCTGAAAAAACAAATTCTTCAAAATGAAAAATGAACAAATTGTGCAGCATCTCTACAGTTCAAGGGCTTTTCTCTAGAGTATGAAAACACCACTGTTATTTTTTCTTAAAACTAATCACACTTTAATAAAAGGCTATTTGTTGCATTAGTAAAGAAGCATAGCAAATCTTTCTCACAGGAGTATGAATGCCTTCAAGCAAGACAGCTGCACTCAGACAGCACTGCTAACCCTCAGATGTTGATTCAAGCTGTCTTCATCTTTCAATAATGAAAGTTTTTGTAGTCCCGTGCAGAGTAAGCAATGAATAAATCTGCATGTGTTGGAGGATTTGTTTGCCATGAAGGTCCTCTCCAGGACATAAACACTGACTCCCCAGAGAACTTCACACTTGATGTGGCTGGTACTCATCAAGTGCAGCCTTCTTGAGGAGTTGAGAGCAGTGAGTAGGCAGTGACTACAGATTCTTTAATACACAACTACACCCATACAGTTAAGCACAGTTCTCCACTTCCCAACAGTCACTTGTGCACCCAGAGCCCTCATTCTCATAAAACCCTCTTGGGCTGAGTCCAGCTCTCTGAACAAGCTGATGCTCGTGTCTGCAGGTCTGAACTGGGGGCTGGCTGGCAGCTGAGAGAGCAGGAGAACCAAGTTAAAGGGAGCACAGATGAAAAAAGTGTTAGAGTATAAATTTGTTCCAGTTACAAGAATGTCTTCTCATCAAATGGACAAAAAAAGATATATGGGCACACAAGGGATTTGCCATTCAAATTCTAATTGCTGATAACCTACTTATCTTCCCTTGTCTAGAGAAAAATACAGTTTCACCTCATTAGAGCAGAACAAGACATTGTTCAATGCCTTTGGGGAAACTCATAAGGAAGGGTTTGTCCTTTTTCAACTCATTCTTGACCTTTATATTAACATTCTAGCTGGTCTCAACATGTTTTATCTTGGAATGAATATAATCAGTAGCTTTAGTGGTAGCACAATTTTTCTGCTGGCTGATTTAAACTTCTTTAAGCAAGTAACTAAACAAGTCTGATGTTTAGTTCCTGCTAGATTTAGAAAATTGATGAATTCAAAGTCTTGAGTTTGCTTTCTTTTGAATATGGAACAAATAACATGTTTCCTTACTATGTTCTCCCTTAAATTTTTGCTGATGCAGCAGTCTCAAAAAACACAACCTCAATCTCAGAGACTGACAGGCTTTGTATTTCAGGTGAATAATGGGACCATTAAATGGATTCAATCTTGTGAAATACCTACTAGACTGTTTTCATGTGGTGTGAATTTTGAGGTGCTTTTTTCACTTTGACTGCAGTAGGTCATAGAAATCATTAGTTTCGAATATTTTTCTGGATATCCAAAATAATTATAATTTATTAATTTTGTAACTTCTAAAAATATAATAACTAATATCTAAAAATATTGTAATGCCTTTATAGTAATACTATTATGTTTTATATATTAGTGTTTATATTAAAAATACATATAATTTGTCACATGCATCAGTGCCCACCTCATCTCAACAAGCAGTACACACAACAATAAACAGGAAGTTTTAATTACAGTAGATATGCTGCCCTTGACTCTTGAAGTCCATTAGCCAGGGGCAATTATATCTCCTGGGGAATCCTGTGGCAAAGAAGTTAATTTCATAATGTACCATTATGACCTAAAGAACATACACTTATAGACAAAACTTAAAGCCTGAGGTTAATTTCATAATGTACCATTATGACCTAAAGAACATACACTTATACACAAAACTTAAAGCCTGGCAGTCTGAATTCTCTCCTGCTCCTCACCATCCCCTCAGCTGGCAGGGATTCTGACATTTAGCTTAAAACACAAATTTCACTACTCCTTTCATTAGGTGCCATAGAGATGCATGGAAAGGCTTTTAAAAGCCCCATTTACTTTACTGTGTGCTCGTTTTACAGTAACACAGAACCCTCCACAAAAATCAGAGCTGCTCTTGTGCAGACCTCCCTGCTCCCCTCAGCCCTCCTGCCTCCCAGGGCAGCTTTGCAGGACAGGGCTCTCAGTCACTGCAGATGGAGCAAACAAAGAGATTCCAGCTCAGCCACGAGGGCAACACTTCCCTTCTATGGCAGCTTCTCCTGCAGGGGAATGCTCAGGTGGACTCTCCCCTGTGGTCCAGGTGGAGGATGCTCCTCCTTGAAATCAGCCAGATCTATGGCACTTTTATTTATTTTAAAAGCTTTTCTTTGCAGATGAGCAGCGGTAGACAAAGCTGGAGTTCTTCTTTCTAGCCACAAACCAGAAGTTCAGGATGACACAGAGCAAGTACTGCCGTTTCACAGAAGTATTTTTACACAGAAAGTTCCAATCACCCAGGCAGAAACTGCTCAGGGTTCAAACACCAAATGAAAAGACCACATAAGAACCATACTGAAAGTGATTTTTTCCTATCCATGATACAATTTGGTTGAAGAAAATTCTCTGTGATTTGCATAAACCAGCAGAATTCCCACAGAATTGCGACATTTAATTTAAAAATATTAAACAGAGCTTGTAAAGCATGCCATCTTGGAAGTGTTGAAAATGCTTTTTAAAATTTTTAAATGACAACTCCAAACTTTTGTTTGAAAGCTACCAGCTTTTAAACTGATAGGGTAAATGGGTCAAGTTATATGAATTCTGAATATGGAAGATCATCTCATTCCTAAAAGGCACTAAAAGTAAACCAGACTGTTTAGCACCAGCACTGTCACAGGCAAATCTTGGGTTAAAATGCTCTCATTTTTAATAGTTTCTCTTTTATATTAATATTCATCCAAAACTTTTCATAATTTTACAGAAATGTTCCTTTGTAGTTTCTTGATTTAATCTCTTTGGGCTATTTCATCTTTAAGAACTCTTCAGCTTGACAGACTGGATCCAGCTTTGGCTTTTAAGACACACTTTGCCATTTTGTGTGTCAGCCTTAATCCATTTGTCTGTTTCATCCCTTTGATTCATGTGACCTGGAAAAGAGAGTTGTCTTAGTTTAATTTGACACACAATAAACATATCATCTTCACATTGCCATTTTTTCCAAGCTCCCTGGAAGCACTTATAGCACTTTTATTTGGTAACATTTGTGTACTTTTAGCAGAGACATTTCCTTCTTGATACAGTTTCTTTACATTAATCTACTTTCCCATAATTCATCTTTACAATAGAGTAGTGGTTTTTATTATATAGTACTGCACTTTTTATTCTAAGCTAAGAAATGTGTTATGGTGGGTTGACCCTGGCTGGCTGTCAGGTACCTACCAAAGCCACTCTACCACTCTCCTCCTGCAATGAACAGGGTAGAGAAAATATAACAAGAAGCTCAGGGATCAAGATAAGGACAGGGAGAGTTCAGTCAGCAGTTACTGTCACAGGGAAAACAGATTTGACTTGGGGAAAAAATTAATTTCATTTACTCTCAATCAACTCAGAGAAGGATAATAAAAAATAAAGCCAAATCTTAAAAACATATCCCACTCACCCCTCCCTTTGCTCCAGGCTTAATTTCACTGCTGATTTCTCTACTTCCTCCCCACCAGAGGCACAGGGGGATGGAGAATGGGGTTTGGTCAGTTCACACATTATCTCTGCCACTCCTTCCTCTGCAGAAGGAGAGCTCCTGATGCTCTTCCCCTACTCTGACATGGAGCCCTCCACAAGCTGCAGGTCAATCTCTGCTCCCCTGCAGATAAATCTCTACTCTGGCCTCTGGAGCACCTCCTGCCCCTGCTTCTGCACTGGCCTCCACACAGCAGGGCTGTTTCTCTCACATATTTTCATTCCTCTCTCCAGCTGCTGGTGTGCAGTAGGGTTTTTCCTCTTTAACTGTGTTATTCAGCATCACTAATGGGTTCAGCCCTGGCCAGTGGTGGGTCTACCTTGGAGCAGGTTGGTGCTGGCTCTGCAGGACACAGGGGAAGCTTCTGGCAGTTTCTAACAGAAGCCACCCCTGGAGCACCCCCACTACCACAACCTTGCCACACAAACCCTACATGTACTGGTTTTCCCTGGGAGAGGGTTATTTTTTTTTATAGTAGCTAGGATGGACCAACACTGATGAAAATAGTGTTGATAATATATAAAATTTGTTATTTCTGAGTGGCCCTTTCAGAGCATCAAGACCTTTTCTTCTAATACTGCCCTGCCAGTGAGGAGGCTGGGGGTGCACAACAAGCTGGGAGGGGACAGAACCAGGACAGTTGACCCCAAATGACCAAAGGGATGTTCTGAATTGTATGGTGTCCTGTTCTGTATCAGAGCTGGCAGAAGGAGCAGCAGGGGACATTCAGAGTGATGGCATTTGTCTGACCCAGTACCTGTTACATGAGGTACAGTCCTGCTTTCCTGGGGATGGCTGAACACCTGCCTGCCCTGGGAAGTAGTGAAAGAATCCCTTCTTTTGCTTGGCTTGTGTGCACAGCTTTTGCTTTATCCATCAAATTGTCTTAATCTCAAAGTCTCTTTATCCCAACCATGACTTTTCTCACTTTTACTTTTCTCCTTGTCTCCCCCATGGGGTGTGAGTGGCAACCTGGTGCTCATTAGCCAGTCCTGGTTAAACCATGATTCTTCATGAGATACTGATCTGGATAAATAATTTCAAAGATTTTAAGGGACATGGTAAGACCTGATTGTCCAGATGCCTGGACATTATTTCCTTATGATAATGGCCTAAAAAAACCCCCACAACCCTGAGGTATCTGTCTTCTTACATGTTTCACATTAACTTCATATTCACAGTCATGCTCTGAAAAGCTCACTGTATAACAAAGAAGAGAGTTCAACTCAGTCTCATTTTATAATTAAGAAACTGAGGCCAAAAGAGAATAAGTGACCTTCCAAATTTATACAAAAGATTTGTGTCCATATTGGGAATTAAACTGGGATCTTTAAAGTCCCAAATCAGTGCCCTTATCACAAGATCAACCTTCACTTTGGTTTATCTTTGCAAAGTATCATTTATTATTGCTTTAGTGTTCATTTAACTGTGTGTATTCTAAGTTTAGAATAATTTGAGCCTGGAATAGCAAGAGGTATGGCAGGGAAGCAGATTCTGAACCAATTTTGCAAACATGCTCCGCTCTGCTCTGACCTGTAACACAGCTGAAATTAAATTTTGGCCACAGCAGAAACAGTGGCAAAACTCCAACTGACATCACTGCGTTGGTTTCCACAACTCAGGCCTGTGTGCCAGAACCTTTCAATAGTGTTTCAGTGCTTTAGCAGCTCTAAGTGGGATTCATTTAAGTTCATGGGCCAAGCCCACAGCAATTCACAACAGGCTGAGTATGGTTTGGAAGTACGGAGCTCTCAGAGGAGTCCAACAATGTCAGAGTCACTTCAGTGTCCCTTGTTATCAGACTACAACATGCCTTCAGGTGTCTCCAGGGGGATGTCTTAGTACAATTTCTGCACTCCTCATTGCTCCAGACAGCAACAGTCTCAACCACACTCAGTGTCAGTACCATGCCTACAGTAAAGCAGAATCCTCTACTCATCTGATTGCAGACTTAAATCTGTGATGAATCACCAAGTTGGACTAATGTGTTGTATATGGAATCCATTAAAATTTGAAAGTTCAGTTCCTGAAAGCTTTCCTGAATCGCTGATTTTCAATAGTATTGTATTAGAGAGTATAGAACAAAAACTAAAGCAGAATCTGTCACTTAAGCATAGATAGCACTTAAAGCATTTCATCAGTCTGGTTTTTAAACAGGAAGCAGCCTCCAGATGACAAGAAATTGAACAAAGTAGTATAAAGGAAAATTTCAGCTGATCCTTTAACAGAGCTGTAGAACACTAAAAATACAGGTTTTTCTCATAGGGAGAGAGCACACAATAAATGCAGGGCAGAGATATATTTCCAGAAAGTGCATATTGGAGTGCTTGGTCCCAGTTCCTCTCTCTCATATTTTTGTGACTATGGATTGTACTTCTGTGGAAGAAACAAACACTGAAGCACAGAATCTGGTGTGCTGCAAATGGTTTCATGCACTGCTTAACACCTTGGCAAAAAAATTAAAGAAGAGTTTAGGGAACACAGGAACAAATTTACAAGCGCCATTTTAAAGCTGAGTTTGTCTGACCTCTGTTTCTCATTTTGTTTTTGCTATGTGAATGCAGAAAAAAGTTTTGTTCTTACACTTCTGGAAATTTGCCTGTGAGGCAAATATTAAGGTTATTAAGCCCATTACTAGTAGGAGGTTCAAAATTATTTCCTATATTTCAATAGCTTTCTGTATGAGGCACTAATCAAGCAACAAGGTTTAGTTGGAGACCTTTTGATCACTGCTTGGGTCTTAACTGTACTCACTGCTTGTACTCTGAATACCAAGAGAACCTACGTGGATTTTGACAAAGACTTTACTAGCTTGATTAAATCACAAAAGCAAACAGCCTCCTGGACTGAGAATAGGGGGGGAGAATTAATTTCAAATCTACCAGTCAAGACAGCAGCATGAGTTCAGGAGAAGACAGATACACTGCTAGGCTGTGTACACCTTTCAATTTAAAGCCCTGGAAAAAGGGTGTGTTTTTTCCTCCTCCCCAGTGTGTGGTGTTTAAAGGAAGGTAACACCTTTGCAAAACTTTACAGTCAAGCACTGTTTATTTACTTGCCTTCCTGGAGACTGGAGAAGTTGAGAGCTCTATTTTCATACCACAAAACACAAGAGGATCATATTTTAAGCATTGTTCATTGGTAGCGTTAGGACTGTGGTATACATCAAAAGGTTGTGAACAGCTTGAGTTGAATGCAAGCTGAAACCAATAAAAATCTGTAGGATAGCATCTCATCTAATGTGTTTAATAAAAGTTGGATGAACTTTCTATTTGACTTGAAGGAATGTAATCTTTTCCAGATACAACCTGGGTCTTTGTTTATTTTTTTTAAGATATTGCTTAAGGATCAAGGCTTCACAGAGGGCAGTGTGTAGAGGGACATTATAAAACAAAGCTCTTCCCACTCAATTCTAGTGGCCAAGAGTCAATAAAAACTGCTTCTAAGAAAGAAGGAAAGTTCTGAAGTGCCTTGAGAACAGACTAAACAGGGGAGGGCATGACAGCAGATAGTGTTACTCCTGGGATCAGAACTGCAATGCTGACTGCAACAAACTCAAGACAGCTGCACACTGGGAGCACTTGTGCAGCTGGTAAGCTTCAGATAAAACCTGAAGTTTCAGCAGACTGACATAATACAAGCTCTTTCAGTTATTTCCCTTTTAAAGGCAAGTTGCTGGTCTCACGTTATTCACTGCCCCTTCAGCTGTGTTTGTATTCAACCCTTGAACTCCAGGCAGCTAAAAACACAGATACTACCTTGGAGCAAAGAATACAGAATTTCTCATAATGAAGACTCTTAAACACATAAAGCTTTGTGCATGGTACAAGAGACTCATGCAATCAGCCCCCTCTGGCACACTGGCCTTAAAGCAATCCTAAAGGGAAGGCCACAGTATTCCATAGGCTGCTCTCCCAGCACTACTGTATCAGGGACCACTGAGTGAACAGTGAGAAGTAATTATTCCTGGTGGCAGGAAACATCTGTCTAGATCCCCTTTGCTCCAGCAGGGAGCATCAGGCAGATGTGAAAATTGTAATATTTTAGTGCATGCCTGAATGAATGATTGTTGTAAGGAGAAAGGGACTTCTCACCACAATCTATGGGGAGAACCAGGCAGGATGAGAAGACCTGAAGGATGTCAGTAAGAGAAACCTGAAAAGTCAGAGATAGAACAGAAGTGACAATGCCCATCTTTTCAAAGGAATCTGGTAATTACAGACAGGCTGACTCTCCAGAGGCACGGGAAGAAGGCCAGCTAAGAAGGTCTGCAGTTTTAAAAGAATAATTGGATACTTGATCAACCCAGAAGGTAGAGGCAATGTGAAAATTTTCACAGGGGAAAAGGAATTAGAGAAGTCAACGGGGGATTTCCTCTGCATGTCCTGTATTCACCTCTAAGGGAAGCATGAATTAACATGGGAGAGTCCTGTTACCTGCATGGCCACCAGAGGCATGGCTCAGAGGAACACTGCTCTCAGCTGGCTCAGCACAACAACTGCGAGCAAGTATGTCTCAACTTGGGAGAAAACCATAACTCCCAAAGCATATGCTCTTTGTGTAAGAGCAGAAAAACACAGAGAGGTTTGCCAGTTGAGAAGGTAAAACCAGGGACACAGAGTAACAACAACAACCATCCACAGCCTCCGAGGAGCACCTGAGACACGGTGGAACTTTTACCATTTTAAAACTCACACAGCTGCTGCAAACCAGATGAAGTGCCTGCAAAGTTAAAAGATTCCTCAGCACCAAGCAGATGGCATCAGGTGAAAGGTTGCCACTGGATATGAACTCGGCACTAGAACTGGGGCAGGGATGGAGAAACATCCAAAATCAGGCGAGTCCCTGGCATCTCATCTCGCTCAGAGATGAGATTTACATGGTTTATTTTCCAGGCAATTAGGTTTGGAAATTGACACCATTTGCTACAAGGATTCAAATAAGTCCCTGAATGACTGCAAGACATTTTCCAGCAAGTTCACAGTGGTCAACACACAAGATGGCAACCAAAGTAGCTGAAGTGTGTCCAGTGGCTGCATTTCTTTCAGTCCTCATCCACCCACATGCCTGATAACATTCCTTTGCTACTGTGGAGGGGGTGGGAGCAGATGGTCACATCAAGCTGGGACAAGAGCAAACAGGGCTGAAAGCCTCTCCTGGGGCAGCACTGAATTTGGTCTGAGATGCTCACATCACCTGGTCTCACAACCTGCAGTACTGGCATCCTACTGCCCCCCAGACAAGTGCTACAAGGAAGTTTAACTTGCTCTTTAGCTAAGTTTCCTTTACCATAAGTTATAATTTTTAGTCCTATTGCCACTTGACAGAACAATTTATTTCCTTATTTCTCTGTAGCAACTTCTTATGTACTAGAAAAATGCATCATCTTTTCCCTTTGTCTTCTCTTTTGAGATAAAACCAGAGCTTTTCAGTCTTCTCTTGTTAATCATGATTTCAGGACTCTGATCAGATGTTCTCCTTTAGAGACTCTACAGTTTGGAAGCACAGTTCTCAAAACTGGACACATTTCAGTAAAATATTACTAATGCCATGTAAAGCCAAAGGATTATTTTGAGTTTTGCAGAACAATCATGTTAATATGCTGTTTGTTTTCAATGGTGTAACACTATTGTTTCCTGATATTATTTAAATATTGCTCCTCTTGGGACTACACAGGTAATTGTTCACTTAGAACTTAACTTATTGGAAAATGGCCTAAAAAGCATGTAAATCAAAATAATATGAACTTTAACCTTGACCTTCAACATGTCTGCAACTCCTTTGACATAAGTGTCTTTTAAATTCATTTTCTGCTTAAATATTTAACACTTTTTAGCCTGCTACTCCTTCTCTTACCACATGTAGCACCTACAGCTAATTACCTCCACAGGCATAAGATTTAAGAACACAGGCACACCTGGAAACAGGGAGAAGGCAGACATTGAGCAGGAAGGGCTTCTCTTCTTGCCAAGGAAAAGAAAGAACACCTTAACATGACTACAATCAGAAATTACTGGAATTACTCAAGAACTCTAAAGGCAGCCAAACACTTCCACTGATGGAAGCTGGACCAGTGCTTAGCATGAACTCTGTTTTTGTAACATTTCATTATAGCATACATATTGCTTTCAAGACTACCCACTGATGCCAGTGGAAACAGATGCCTTGCCCTTGCAAATCACTTCAAAGAATACAAACTCCCCGTCACTGCTCTCTAGTTCCCTCCCTTTCTCAGCAAGTGTCTCAGTTTTGTAGGAAAGTCCCCTTTTCCTAAAAGAACAAACCCAGTTCCACACTCTCACCCTCTGTCTCTAGAGCACTCACTCCAGACTTCCATCACCTTGCTTTCACCAAATCCCACTCTATTCCTTGGCTAGCTGGCAAAGCCCTGGATGTGAGTGCTTGTGGGGCTGAGCTGTGCTGACCCCCTCAGTGTGGGAGTGGGGGTGATGGTGCACATGACAGCTGCTCTAAAGCAGGAGGGAAGGCTTTCCTAGAGCAGGAAAGTGCAGGAATAAGTGCATGTTTACCCAAGTCACAGAACTCTGCCCTGTCGTCTTCCCACTGGACAGCCTTCTTAACACATTCAAAGACTCCCAGAGGCAAGCAAAGCTTCCTAAACGGTCACAGTTCCCATGTTATTCACATGAGAACTGGATTTTCTGAAAAATCATCTGTTTTTAAACTAATCTTTGAAGTCAAAAGCATAAAACTCTTAAACCGCCATGCTCTTGTGATTCAGTTTTTAACCACTTGGCAAAGCCCCTCTTCACTCTCTATTTTACATTTCTTCAGTCACAACAGCAGGACAGCTATGGACCTTGCACCTGAAACTTCAACACTGAATAATGCTCCCAGGAGAGAGAAATTGTATTAGAAAATTACCAAATATCACGTTTAGGAAGAAGCAATTGTTGATAGTAAGGGGGCAAGTGCAGAAAGAATACACTGTAAGGAAAAGAGAAATAGAAGGAGGAAGTATTTCCCTTTTTATGTAATGCTGTAACTTCTTTAAACAACTGATAATCACTGGCCTAATGCTGTTGCCTTTGCATAATTCTTGATGATGTCTGTGCCTTTGGGACGTGTATATTTGAGAGTTAACTAATCAGAGTTCCTGTTTCTGGCCTCAAGTGCCAAGATGGTTTCCATACAGAACAGTGGGTTGAAAAATTGCATCTGCTTCAGTGATGACTGTCCCACACAAACACTGACTGGGTTGTGAAACCAGAGAAGTCATTCAGCTGTGTATATTTGAAACACCACTCTTATCTTGAATGTTGCCAAAGTAGCAAGATGATTGATTGGCTGGTGGTCCTCATTCACTGGGAGGAAGTGAATTTTTGTTTTACTGCTGAGGTGATTCATTACACTGAGTCTCATTAGAATCTGGGGTCCTTCCACAGATTTCTAGCCTGACAACCTCTAATTATGGTTTTTATACAAACTGTTTTTAATAAGCACTACTAAATTTAAGTGCTAGTTACTGTTCCTAGGCAGGAAGAGCTATATAAGCAGGCTACATACTAAAATTATATAATTACACTTTCAATGTTTTCCTGATTCTGAGATCCCCATCTTACATGGGGGAGGAAAAGAGTTTTTATGCATATTTTCTTAGGTTTAAAACTCAAAGCCTTACCCCATCTGCTATCAGAGCAGGTCACACTGACATAACACATTCAAACACAGAGCTGGAGGCCTCAGACACACCAAGTTAATGTTTTCTCTAGAGCAAACTGTGTAATTGGTAAAAGCAACAGCCTTAACTTCTAGATAGCCACATCTGGAGTGTGGGAGAGAAATACACCCCCTGACAGAGAATTGTACAACTGTTTCCTAAAGCAGGAAACAGCAAGACCTGGGATTCTAAGTTCTGTTTTAAATGCCTTACAAGAATACTTGCAGTAACTGCAGGTACCTTTCCATGTACTCTCTCTATTTCTCCAGCTCCAGTTTCTTCTGCTCTTCTCATCTCCCACTCATCATTTCTCAGCCTATCCTGCACTACTGTACATTTATAAATATGCCATATACCCCTTTCATTCCCCACTTTCACTCAGAAACAGACAGATTTCTTTTTTATTGTTATATTTTTAATATAACAGATTGCCTAGGAAAGTCTATGTGACTTTCTAAGCCAACAAAGCCATGGGTCAAATTCAGCTCTGGATTGTCTCCCACAGATCCACTGGACTAACACTAAGGAGAAATTTGGCTCTAAGCCTTTTGTTAGAAGAAGTTGATTATATTCACAAGTCATGTGAATGTAAAAACAAAATTTTAAAGTCATCCAGTAACATGGGGAGTATAACAGCACAAGCAAACATCTGAACATGAAGCAGATTAAACAAGCAGCTGCCAAGGGCAATAAACTAATAAAGAAATGTAGATGCCTTTGACTTAGGCCAGACAGACATTTATTGGAAGCCAAGATTAGTAAGCCTTACCACTTAGAGTTACATGATCATCTTTGGAGGCACTCTGTGTTTCTTTTAACTGGATCTCTGAGCTCACATCCACTTTTCTTCCAGACAGCTCTAAATAGGCTTTGAGAGATGCAGGTACCTTGACTGTAATTGAACCTGGTAGAAATTTAAGTGAAAGATAGTTTAGCCCTGAGATCAAAGCATGAAATAGTCCATTATTTCACTAACTTGAATCAAATCATCATTTGGTTGTGCTTTGTCAGGTTTTTTTTTAAGTCTTCAAAAACAGTAACCTCTTTTTTTTGGTCACTGAAAGGATAAATGAAAGTATCTTCATTTATCATAAACAGAGTATGTTACATATAGAAAATGGTATCACAGGATTTCCTTCACAGACAGGAAAATAAATAGTGACATACACTTCTAGCAATGTCTTGGTAGAGGATCTTATTACAGGAATTATCAGGGGAAGCAAATATAATAGATCTCACATTATGACTTTAAGTTATCTCATTATGACTTTAAGTTCATCTTCTAGTTGTATATTGACATTCCAGAGCAAGGACAGAGCATCAGACTTGACAAATAACCCAGTCACTGTGTGGCACAAGATGAAAGAATTGTTCCTCTGGAAGGATGAGCTCTGCTCACTTACTGTGAACTCTAGCAATTGTCTTTGCTTTACTGCTTAGGGCAGCTGTTCACATCCTCCAACAGATGCAGTCTCAAAACTGATTTATCAGCTTAGACTATGCATCACTAAAATGTAAACTAGTAGCAAAACTGCAGCTTTGGTGGCCTGAATAATTCTACTTTGAGATTAAAACCAGAAATTCTGACTGCTGCTTCCCCTAAATATGTGCATCTATGCATCAGACCAAAGGCAGACACTGGGCCTCCAACCTGCCCACATTAGTCATCTTTGGAATAACTCAGTCACAAAGTCTGAAAGCTCTCTCCTACACATTAGATCAAAAACCTGAAAAATTCAGAATACGCTTCCTTTTTATGTGCTCCTTAGTTTTTGCTCAATTTCAACATTTAGAAAAACATAAAACAGTTTCTTGACATACATCCCAGAAGCTTCAGCAGAACATGGTAAGAATCACAGCTGAGTAGCACCAGAAAGCAACCCTGGCTAAGCAATTTAGACACAGCAGAATCACTTGCCTGTGACAGTTCTGATGAACAAATAACTTCCAGTATAATTTAGGCCTGCATTTTGCTGGATACACAAAAGCCTTAGAATAAGCAAGGGAAAAGGTCTTCATCTTTGGGTCCTCTTTGGAGAGTTGCTCAGTGATGACTCATAAAACCCGACACACATGCAGCTCATTTATCACAAGTGGGACATTTTCTACACTGCAGCTGTCAGCAGTTATTCTGAATTTACAGGGTAAACAGAAACAGAACTTCAACTTTGCCTTTACTAAACTGTGCTGCCAGAAGAGATGGTAGAAAATATTTTGAAAATAACATTAATTAGCTTTTATTAAATACATTCCTCTTTTCTTCTAGCTCAGAGAGACATTAACTTAGCAAAATAAGCGATACTAAAGGTAACCAAGAAATAATATAAAAATAAACTTCTTTGTACTAATGAAGCCAAAATAGATTGTACAGAAGGATGCACAAATTACTTCAATTCATTGACACCATGAGTCCCATTTTGAGAAACCATTAGGTTTTAACAGGGCACAGGCTTTGTTTCACAGGAGACAGAAGTGGACCAAATACCACACTTAAATTAACCATCTGAAGTGTCTGACATGACATTAAAATAAAGTGTAAAAATGCTGCAGTGTGTTTTGGCTTGTTTTGGATTTTTTTGTGGTTGTTGTTTGCATTTTGAGTTTTTTGGTGGTTTTTTTTTCCCCAAACTAGGATTAACAAGATGTACTCAGGGCTCTGTAATTTACAGCATCATATGTTCAGAATGGCAAAACTATGAATTCAACTTTAGGTGTGAGCTTTTAACTAAGAAGAGAAATTTTAGCAAGTAAGCAGGAGAGAAAATGAAGGGAAAATGGTAATATAAGGCTCTCCCATTTTTGTTTTTCTCCACTCCACTCAACATACTAGGACATTTCAGTCAAAAGGCAAGAAAAATACAGGTATGTGTGTCAGTTATCACTGCACATACAGCATCATGGAGAAAACTGTGCTCAAGGCAAAGGAACACTGCAACCCCAGACAACTCTGCAGAATTCTGCTGGGCATATTGCCAGAAAAAACCAAAAACATTGAAAAACACAAACACATTTAGTCCATCTTAAGTATTCTTGTCCCTTACAGAGCTTATTGTATTTTAATAAATAAAGTATTTTAATAATATTTTAGTAACATTTTAATGATTTTTTTACAGATAGATAAAAAAGCCCCAAAACAAACCCTTATCTCCTTTTCTTTTACATCAAAATCCGCCAGAAAAAATATTTAATTTAATTTGCTAACCTTTCTGGGATTTCAGATCCACTTTTCTTAATTGACTGACATAAACATCTATTGTCCCATGATATGTAGAAGCTTTTAGACTTCCATCTGATGAATCTAAAAAAAAAAAAAAAAAACAAAAGAAAAGAATTTGTGTTTTTAAGTAAACATTTGCCAGAATCTTTCTTTATACCTCAAACTGATTTTTATCAAGTCTTCTGTGTTTGAGAAGTATCATAATAATTTACAAACTGTCAGCCCCCACTCAGGACTTTTTCAGAAAGCTGTTATTCTATCTCCCCACTCCAGAGCTGGGGCACACTCTGCTCCTCAGGCTGTTGCTCTGCAGTTGTTCTGCATCTACAAGGGCCCAAATGCAGTGCACATCTTTCTACAGGAATGTCTTTGTGTGAAAATCAAGCACAAAACTTGAATACTAAGATGTCATTTAGTTTCCAAAAGAGTTCATTTGCTCAGACCCTGTGCAAGGGAGAACTTCACCCAGGCAAGCTGCCCCATGCAGGAGCCAAGCAGCTGCTCACTGCAACTCTTGTTACACAGAATAACTGAACACAGGCTTTGTAAAGCCTGATTCACTACATCTGATTTATCAACAAATGTTTAATATCTGCAGGAAAACAGCATTTCTTCTGTGTCCTGGAATAGAGAGGCCTAAATTTTCTTTTATACCTTACTAGCAGAAATTTATGATCATAAAACTTTGCAAAGAAGCATTTTTACGAAGTCTTTCAGAAGCTTTAAGTGTACACTTGAGTAGTCTTTATTTCAATGTATTCCCATTTTAAATACAGACTTCCACAATATTAAGTGAAATCCTGAAGAGTTTACTTTAAAACTACTGAACATGCTTATATCTCATAGAAATTGCAAAGCAATTATTTAAAAACCTAGAGGAGCATAAAAAAATTACCTTGGTACATGAACAAAAGGCAGTTACTGAGAGGTATTTTTAGAGACAATGTTAGGAATTAAAAAATTTGGAAAGAAATCCCAAGGTACTAACAGAGACTGGCTTCTGAATATGCATAGAAAAAAACCCACCAGTCAAACTCTTAGAAGTAGCTAAAAAAATAAAACTTGAATAAAACTTCCCATTTTAAAAAGTAAAGGTATTAATGAAAGAATGAATTTGATTAATTAACAAGGATGTCTCATATTAACGTTTTATGCTTGCCATACAGTTTTAGCTCTAAGTAAACTCATCTGGAGCTTTTCTGATCCCAGATTTCAATAACAGATGCCAAAGATCAGTGAATTGCTTACAGCAGCAAAAACACAGAAGAAAATCTTTATCCTACAGCTAAAGCTGATTTCTTTGGAGGGGAAAGTAATCAAAAAAATCCCAGCTAATCCATACTTAGTCAGCTGAGAAACTGAGAAGGGCTTTGGCTAAAAAGAAAACATTAATAACTAGAACTGGATGTGAACGCTTCTGCCATTTCAAGACTGTACTAAAGAAGGTCTGTTTGAAATCTGAAAAAAGAAAATTAACTCTTCTTTAATAATGAAGGGTTTTGCTTGTCTAAGTGAAAATTAAATATTGATTTTAACTGATGATTTTTTAAAAGGTTGTTCATAATATTGGAAAAGTTAAAGTCATTAGAACTGGAAAACTTGACATGCACCAACCATTTAAATGCACTTTTTAAGCAGTGATCACTAGAAATTTTCATGCAAAAGCTGTTTTTGCAGATATTCCCCATCAAATTTAGTAACAGCCAATTACTGACTCCACATAACCTTGAGAGAGATTTTGCTGGCAACAGATACAGGAAACATCCAGCCTTTGACTCCTCTGCTTCAAACAGAAGCTATAATAAGTCCCTTTATCTGTTCTAGGCAGGAAGAAGAGCCTCCTGTGACAGGAGAGCAGCTTCTCCAGGGGGAGCACAAACAGGGCACAAAGCACCAGCTGATGGTGCTTCAGAGGGACAGCTCTGATCCACTGAAGCCTCTCCTCCCACTTCTCAAATGCAAAAGCAGCTCCTGTGGGATTCTTCCCAGTGGGAAGAGAACTTTTGTCAATCTGCAAGACTGAACAAAGTGTTCTTTCCTAGGTCTTCAATTAATAAATATTGAAATAAAAAGAATTCTTGTTTTGTGAGAGACTGGACTGTGTTGGCAGAAGGCATCAACACCAATAAAGGATGCAGGAGGAGGGCAGGAGGGACAGGCTCACCAGGGCACAGGTTCACCAGGAAGCCAAAAACAACCTTGAGAGAAATGAACACTTTTCCATTGAGGAACACTGTTTTGGGAGGATGACTTGCCAGATTTTGACTCCCAGAGTACCTCACTAATACAAAGTTTCCTATGGCTGAAGAAACTTCAGCAGAGTTTCAAAACCACCAAGGAGCTTGGCAGCACAAACCAAACACTAAACTTGACACTACAAAACTGTACAGTAAACAATCTATGGAAGTAACAGGAAACATTTTATGGAAAAAAAATCAATATGATTTATGTAATGGATGTTACAGATATGATATTATATGATACAAGTGTGTGGATACAAATAAGAATAACAAGAAACATGGAATTGTTCATCACTCCTGCCAAGTCCATAAAGACGCTGTTTTAAGTTTGTCTCTAACTCTTAACAAATAAAGGGGAATAAAAGGAAAATGGATTTAAAATAAAGAGGCACAAAAGAGTTCCCAAATCTAAATAAATAAATATTTTAACAATGAAAAAATGACCCCATCCTAAGTATAGGCTGATAGCATAAAATACATAACAAATAGTAATGGAGACAATACATATTTTATGGTTATGACAGATCAAACCTAAGGCAATTTATTTTCAAATATATATCCAGTGCTAGCTGATATGGATATGAATAACTGAAGGTAAAAATAAGGAAAAAATGTGCAGCTTGAATTCTAACAGGGAAAAGGTTTTCTCCAGGTTTCTCAAGGGGAGAACAAGGACAAAGCCTTTTACTAGAAATGGAACAGATGGTCAGTCTTGTGCAGCTTTAGCTATTTAAGAATCTACTGGTACTAGAGAAAAAAGATTAAAAAAAAGGGCACAGTGAAGCAAGGTGTCCTTGGAAGGACAAAAGTCTTTATTAAGTTTTATGGAAATAAATAGAGCTTGAAGAATAAAACCTAAGTCACACAACTTGAGAAAGACTGCACAAAAAAGTGAAAGGCCTACAAGGGTAACATTTAGCATCACTTTTCCCTTCACTTTATCAGCCAAGCACTAAGAAAAGGATTCAACACAAGTGATCTTTACTTACATCTAAGCAAAAATATGCTTTTCCTAATAACACCTAAAGACTGACTTAGCTCATGATAAAATCAGTGACAAAAATCAATCTGTATAGGAACACAAAATATTTATTATGATTTTATTACAGACTGGAGGAGGCATGGAATTCCAAGGTATCTGAAGTGTGATGAAGATTGAATTCCTGCTTGGCTAGCTGTCTAGTATTTCTTATTGATAGAAAGCTAACCAAGAAAAATTCTTGGTTTAGTTGATTGTTCTAAAACTGCCGTATGAAAAGTACTACAAGAAACTGAAATTTATTCACTAAATATACTTCACTATTATTTAGAATTCACTAAATTGCACATATTACTGAAAAATCCTCAGCAGTCCTGACCATACTCACCATGGGGACCTGGCAGAATGAATGATGCAATGCACAAAGCAAAGAAATCTCTCAAGAAAACAATTCCTTTCCTAACTAAATTATCCAGGCTATCCTTTTACCTATTAATGATCTATTTTCTATCCCAGTTTTAAATTATATCCATTAATTGTAAAGGCCATAGTCTCTTTTTAATAAATTACTCTGCTCCAAAAAGCCCAAACAACCAACCCACCTGGCATGCCTGGTTTGGAGAAAAGAAAGCTGGGGGGGACCTCACTGATCTCTGCAGCTTCCTGGGGAGGGGAGGGGCACAAGGAGGGGCTGAGCTTTTCTCCCTGGTGTCTGGTGAAACCTTGCATGGCAATGGTTCTTTTTTGGAAGGATTTTTTTACAGAGAGAGTGGTCAAACACTGGAGCAGGGTTCCCAGAGAAGCTTGTGCCCCAAGCCTGTGAGTGTTTAAGAGCCCCTAAACCAGACACTCCAACTCTTGGCCAGGCTGTTGGACTGGATGATCCCTTCCATCTGAAATAAGGGACAGAGCCTTCAGCAAACTGGTCAAGTAGGAGGTGTTCTCACATTTTTAGAGTTGAAAGTCTGGATCTTCAAAGTCTTTTACCTTTAGAAAAATCTATAAAAACACCAGGGACCATGGTGCTCTTTAGAAAAAGATGAAGTCTCTCTAGTGCTGTCAGAATTGATATCTGAAAAATAAAGTTTCTCCAACAGTAAGAGTGTCTCAATGCTGAAGCTGAACCTGGTTAGTTAAGGAAAATAATCATCATCTGTTGATGGAAAAAGCTACCTCCTATATTAAGAAACCTTTATTTAAACAGTCTTCATACCCTATGAGTTTATTTAAGAGAAGGAAAAACAGCATAGCAAGTTTAATTTAATTCTGTGGTTTAATGACTAACCCATAAGAATGTGTCTTGCATTCATTTTCCAGGAATGTTAGTATAGAGCTCTTAGAAACATAGGAGCTCTTACAGTCCCTGAACACATCTTAGAGATGGTCCCTGAAACATGCTTAGTGAGTGACTACACAGCATCAGCAGAAGTCTTCAAGGTCTGGGCCTGAGGAAACCTTCCTACATTCAAAAGATACATGAGCCTTCAATTTTCTGCCATAGCAATAATTAAAATTTGAGTTTCTCACTTTGGTGTTTGTGTGCTATAAAATACTCTGATATAAGGTACACCATAACTGATAGCTCTGAGTTGTCCTGTCATATAAATGCCCAGGTTCCCAATAAAAGTTTTATGAGCTGTTTTCATTTCTGAAGGGAAAACTATTGGCATAATAGTTTGAAAACACTGATTTATCACAAGCCTTGCCATCACCTCCCCTGACAATTAATACATCAATGATTAGCTTCCTGATATAAAAAGTAAACATAGCTAATCACTGACAGCAATAAGAGAGAGAACTACAGTAAGGGCACAACTGCATTTGATGTAGACTTAAGAATTTTCTCAGTCCTTTTATTCCATCAATATCTAAAAGATGACAGCTAGACTCAGCCTCACTTGTCCAAAGTCCAGCAGCTACTGGGCATCAAGGGAGATCTTGTGCCTTGCCCAACAACAAAAGGCTGAGTTTGGAAAGGGTCTTATTCAGCCACACTTGTGACTGCAACTCCTGAAAAGGAGGCAAAAACATCTGTGTGAAATCACCTCCTTTTTATTCCCCCTGTGAATATTTAGCCTTTAGAGAGGAGAAGGGAAGAGCAAGAGAGAAAGAGAAGGCAGAACCTACCTACTGTGATACTCCCTCTTTTGGTCTGAAGGTTGGTATTACCTATAATGAAAAGGGAAAAAATGTTAAAAACATTATTGAAACATAGTATTTATTTATTATTAATATTGTTGCTTTACAAACAAAAGTCTCAATGTATGTGAGTAACAATTAAGTGATTCCAGATAGGAAAAACATTGCACAAATTCAAAGACACCACCTGGATTTGAGGGAGAATAAAACCTAGAGAGGCATGTGCAAGGATAATGCACCATATTGCCTTACTTTGGGCAATTTTTGTGAATTGCTCTGATGCCTGCAACAGCACTACAGAGGATTTAAGTTCAATTGCATGAATAACATGCAATTTATTATTAATTATTTTATAATTTATTAACATGCAAACAGTTTCTATTTTCCTTTTTTTATATACCTATACCCCATGTCTGCTGGAGGGAATCTTGTGCTATTTGCAAAGGCAACTTCCTGGATCCACTGAACATTTCCACTCCCTCCCAACTTACTCTTGTGCATGAAAACTCCTTGTCAACATTTCCACTGACTTCTGTTGGACTATGTTAGACAAAGTGGAGAACATCAAACAAAGTGTGAAAGGCACAAAATGTAGAATGGCTTTCTACTGAACTTGTACCACTTTAAACAGGCACAGGTGTTCCAGCCTCAAAAATTTGAAAATACTTATTCTGCCCTTTCACCTACAACATCAAGAGCATCTGGAAGGACAACAGATGTACCTTGTAGCAGAAGAGACATCTATACTACTAACAGTCTAATTAAATTGCAGAAACTTCTACATTTCCATGCATCAATGTGTCACAGAAAATGCTCTAAATTAAAAACTAAACCACACCATGTCATCCCTGCCATTCTCTCATCCTCCCAAGAGAAAGAATGAAGACTAAGGCTGACCACAGAAACTGAGTGCAGTTTAGCAATACACAGTAGCCATGATTTTCAGCTCTTTCAGGAGAGATTTTAAAAATTGCAGATGGATTAAGCTCTACCCTATCTTGTGTAATTACACAGTAGCAAACAGCCATTAGGGCAGAGTGCATTCCACTGTATATGACCTGTATTTTTCTTAGTGGTTCATGGGCTGAAAGCTAGAAAAGCAGCCTATCATCAACAGTCTTAAATTCATCATTTCAAGTACATATTGTACAAAATACTTTGGAGTTCTAAAAATCAGAGCAGAAACAAAAGCATTTTCCAATGACCTTGAAAGACACTTGGCTTCACTCTTTGCTGTTTTAAAAAGGCATGCTATAATTATCCCATCCTTTTCCTCATTTTATCATGACTGGCACTTGGTTTGGTACAGCCTACAAAGAGACCTAAGGTTTTGTCAGCCAGCAGTGCCATGGAGCAGCTGAAGGTAGATCATATTCTGTCAGCACATACCCTTTGTTCTTTGTTTTCTGGGGGTTTTCTTTCCTGTTCTGGTAAGCAGATCCTTGAAAAATATTCAAGGTGTAGAAATCAAACTCCATTTAGATACACACTTATATGGCAGAATCACCAATGCTGCACAATGTCAACACATTCTGTGAGGCTGCACTTGGAATATTGTGTCCAGTTTTGTGCTTTCAAGTCCAGAATGACACTGGTGTACTTAACTAAGGTCAGAGAAGGCTATTGAGAAGATTAGGGACCCAGAACAAGCTAGAGATGCTCTGAGAGCATGTTTGTTTTGCTTTAAAAGGGGAAGGCTGAGAAGGAGTCTTCTTGTGGCCTTCAACTACCTAATGGGAGGGTATAGAGAAAAAAAAACATTCTTCTCATGGTAATGCAGCAAGAAGGAAGAAGTAGCAATAATGGATACAAGTGGTAATGGAAATTATGATTAAAAAAGTTTTTTTCCCTAACAGAAAAATAATTTGGGAGTGGACCAAGATGTCCAGAAAGGTCATACAAACTCTGGACTTGAAAATACTCAAAGCTCAACTAGACAAAGCCTTGAGCAAGCTTGGTCTAACTGAACCTACTTTAAACACTAGCTGTGAAGGAATCTGATATCTAATCCAAATTTAAACTAGATTTATAAAATAAATTAATAGTTACTGCAACTCAACCCAAGACTTTGGGGCTGCTGCAAAGAGGGGTGTCCTGTTTCTCCCATGTACCCCTTGGTAAAAAAGGTTCACAGTAATGTTATTGGCTCTTGGATAAAGAAGAAAATCCTCAGGATCAAATTTCTTTTTCAGGTGTCAACTCAAAAGCTTAATAGCACCTGACATCTCTAATGCCTGTTACAGAAGCTGATGAAAATGACCCAAAACAAACTCCTTTCAAAACAATGCATTACTCACTTGCCAGAGGAGAATGAAGCATGCAAATGAGCAGCTGTGAAAGTTTGAGCTCTACCAGTGTTGTGACATTACAGCCTGAGTTTCAACCATAAAATGTGTCTCAGATAGGGCAGCACAGATTTTACAAAGTTAACTTCTATTTTTCCAGTGCAAAAGCCATGAAATCTAGCTTAGTTTTGTGCAGGATGTGCTGATTTGATGCCATCTATAGTGTTAGCTGTAGGGAAATGGTGACTTTACTTGCCCAAGAAACAATCTGTTCAGGTGCTTACAGACAAAACTATTGCAATTGAGCTATCTCAAAAATCAGAAGTGAAAGTAACCATTTTTTCCTAGCAGAAATCTATAGGAGTTATCTTATCTTGTCTGCTAAAATGTGTTTGTATGTGTACCTTAAAAGCCTTGGCTCTTACTATTAAACATGATTGGGGAACATGATATTTTACAGAAAATATTTTTTCTCAAAAAATAGGGTAAAGTTACCAAGCAAATCTTTTAAAAACATATAGCTAAAATAACATTAGGTGTTCCAAGCCCATTTAGTAGAGAGGTCATAAAAATAATCCTGAAGTAACGCAAGAAATGTCTGCATAATTTGGATACAATTCTATTTGTTTTCACATTGTTTTTCAGTTTAATGGCAACAGGCATTACTGAAGAAAGTAAGCTATTAACTACAGCAGTTATGATTTCATTTTGTAACTAGAAAATAAGAATTAACTCTTGGATGTGCACAAAGACCTGAACCTGCTCACAATTTGATCACTCTACAATATCATTATACTGTATAAAGTTAGAAAACGCCAAACCAGCACAGCTTATCAGACAGAAGTTCCAGAAATAATACAAGCCTACATTTTAGAAAAATACAACAACAGGAGAAAAAGCAGTTTATTTCTGTCAGTGCATGCTAAAATTAACTTGACCTAACAGGTTTAGAAACCATTCTCAAATTTAATATAAATGGACAAAGGAGTTGCTCCTTCAAGGGAGAAAAGTAATTTCTCAAGCAAGATGACAGCATAACTTCTTAGCAATTGTAGCAAATTCTTTTTAAGGGATATAGCTGAAAATCTGGAACTCTGACAGAGCTGAGTAAATTTTCTTTGTACATATTCCAGTTTGTTTTACTCAATGCTAAATCACCACAAATGCATTATAGCACAGTCTGAATTCAGTGGGAGTTTTGTTAAATTAAAAAACCACACCAGATTTGAACCTCAGCTGCTGCTTAAATAAAATATTCTGTAGTTTATTAGTTTTAGATCTAGGGGAAGGACACCAAAGGGTGGATGGTTTAGAGACTGCTAAGAAGTACTAAGAACTTCTTCTAAAAACAGAAACTGTCACCACTCTTAGTATAAGGTGCCAGAAAGCACACAGGCTATTTCTAATAAAAACTTCTAATTATGACTCTCTCCAACAATCGTTCTTAGTAGATGTTCTAAGAGTTGCTTCTCCTATGAAGAAAATAAAGGATGGGGAGAGGGGAAGAGAAGCCTGCTGACAACTTTTAGTATCATTTTCATTGCTGAATTTTAGAATATTTTGATGTCCTTAGTATGTGTGACATTTCTTTCATATAATGTATGCTTTTTGCTCTTAGTAAGTGTGCTTATGAAACTGTTTTCCAAAATACAGTCTGCTAGGTGGCCAAAAATCAATTAAGTCTCTAAGAGAAACAGAACTGTTTTGCTTGTATACTGTGCACAGCTGATTTAGTGATGGTCTAGTGCATTAGTCCATTTGTTACTGTAAACATTACTGAACACCTTCAAAACAGTTTAATTTGTGACAGATTTCCTTCTTACCATGAACACTTCCCAGCATAATATCACCAGATTCTGAAGAGAGAGATGCTGATTCTGCATAGAGATATTTGGTTTTCAGCAGCCCATCTTCAGTAGATATATTGATGGTTGTCCCCTGCAGCTTCTCTATATTTACACTCTAGGAGAAATAAACATAATCAAAAATTTGTCAACACAGCTTGAAAAAGCAGTGGGAAGTAACACTGTTAAGACACAAAACAAATGGAAAGCAGTTGTTGGAGCAGGACAAATGGAATCAGGTTCTTAGCTAAAAGCTACACAAGACAAAACAAAAACCTTTTCATCCAAGAGCTCTGACTTAACAACCAATGACTCCTCACAACATTCCTATGAGTTATTACATTCACAGTTCAAGTGAAGAACCCAAGTAGACACAAACAGATGAAAAAAAGCTAAATTTAATATTAAAAAATTAAGCACTTCATTTTGTAGAGCAAAATGAAGGATTAACTTTAATTATGCAGACTGAATCTTCATACAGCATTATGACACTTGGAGCATTGGTGATCAATTTTCTGCCAACACAAACTGAAACATCCTCTGTCTTTGTTACATACTGCTATTTATGAAGATTTTTAACTGGCTTAATTTGTAGATATATCTTCGGTGAAGGTTTGCAAAAAAGCCCCACCCAGCTGCCCTTTTTCTCAGTACAATTCTCCTATTACCTTGGTTACTCAGGCTTCTATTCTTGGACTTAAGCCTCAAGACATACAAAGCCACAAAAAACCAGGGATAAGATCTCCATTTCTACTTCTTTTCAATAGAAACAGAAAGGACAGAACATGAAAAGTTGCACTATGGATTTGGGAAATAAAAGGTGACAGATGAGATTATTTATGTAAAAGTGATGAGCCACTTGATATAATGTCAATGTATTTGAGCAAAACAGAACAATTCACATGCTTGTGCAACAACCATATGAAAATGAATTCTGTTCTGTTCAGTTAAATTTGGTTTATGATGGAAGAATGCAATAGTTCATACCTGAACCCCCACTCAATTTGTTTTTCTTTTGCTTACGGAGACTTGCAGTGAACTGCACAAAATCCTTATTCATTACATGAAACAATACATGGCTTTCTAGATAAACGTGTACCTCACCCAAACTATTTTTAAATCCTCCTTGTCATTTTAGCATTGCCATCTTGTGCAAAAAAAGTTAATATACAAAATAAGTCTGTCGACCCTTCTAGTCTAATACTATATAAAGAATAAGCTAAGGATGAAGCAAGAGATATTCAGACAAATAACTACTAGCGTTGCACAAACTCAGTGCTGCTTTGTATCCCAAAAACTGAGCTGAAAAGGCTGCTTTAGTGTGGACTCTATGACAGCCAAATTATACTGTGGCCTTAGCCATCCATTCATGCTGAACTGCTAAATTATAAAATTACAGAATGGATTACTGGCTTAAGACTTGTCCCATGATGCTGCAATACTGGCTAGATCTCCAATAATTTAGCAAGACACAATAAACTTTAAGAAAATCAAAATGCTATGCATAACCTATGGTAGAATTGGAAATATGTGACAGTCCATGCCTACAATCACTGCAGGTGCTGCTGCTTAAAACTGTGTTACACATAGAAACAAAATTCAGTATCAAAGCATAACTTGTCACTACTGAACACAAGGTTTTAATCTTCTACTGCTTGCAACAAAACCCTAATAACCGGAGATCTTAAACACCAATTTACATGGCATCTGTCCTAGGGATGCCTAGGACATCATCCCCCTCCCCACCCTGCATGGCCAAGTGCAGACCTGCTGATTTCCGTGGCCACAGCAGCAGGGACAGGGACAGGCACTCTCATTTTAGGCTCCATGACCTGACCTACTCTAAGAGTTCAATGGCTTGCAAAGAACATTCCCCATTTCCCAGGGCCGTCACTGATATCAGCACAAGGAAAATAGTACAAAGCACACTTGAAAGGGAAGGAATAAAATAAAAATGTCTGCATAGTTTGGATACAAACTGGCTGCCTTGTGGCGTTCCTAACCAGGCAAAGGGAAGTTCAAAAGGCTCCCTCTCTTCCTAGAGAATGCAAGTTTTAACTCTGTTTACAATAAAACACTTAATTTTTAAATAAAGTAATATATCTAAATAATCTCACCTACCAACTCATTTACCAGCCTCAACTACCCTCCTTAAAATTGCACAGTAATAAAGAGTTGTCTCAGCTCCAGATCAAAAGAAGTTACTATAAACAATAAAAGAAAAACTACCAATATAAAGAACATTTGTTTCAGAACAACCCAAATCAGGGTAGGGCATGGAGGAAGGGGAAGTCACACTGCTCAAGTATAAGAATAAAAAAGTATTTTAGATGGGGAAAGCATGGAAAAATGGGATTGCTTTTCAATGAAAATAAATGTTTTCAATCCCAAGTTCTTTAATTCTTGTGGATTTTTGGCAAAACATAGATGTCTGGCTCAACAAAGTAAGTGTTATAGAAAAGTCTCCATGGCACAGATTAGCTAATAACTCCCCAGCCAAACAAATTTCTTTATTTTTGTCCATTGAACCACCAGATCTTCTGGAAAAAATTCCTTCCTTTGGGCATAGAGCCTTGGGGGTTGCAGTTCCTGAAACTTGACCACATGCTCAAGTTCCATAAGTCAGACTGAGAAGGTTTTACACCTGAACACATTTTCAAGATAAAAACTAACATATTGCTATGTTTAAATAAGACATATACAATTCCTTCTCCACATATTCCTGCTCTTGGCCTTCCTTTTCTTGCTGTCATTGTTCAAATGCTTTACTAGTGCCTTCTCTCACTTCCCTCCTTAAAAAATATTCTCCATTTCTCAAGTGCTTTGTGCCTTTTACCACATCCTCTCCCTCCCCACCTCCAGGAGGGGGCTGGAAATGCTGACAGAGCCACAATTACATAATAATGACTGCAACTGATGGAAGAAACATCTCATACCAGCACACAGAGGAGGCATAAGGCTGACTGATTATTAACAGAGGTGGCCAGTTGAGAAAAGAAATCTGTCCTTCCTAACCACACTACAAAGTCTGTTAGTGAGAAGTTCAATAGCATAAGCCAAAATATTGTTCTGTAGCTGTGAATTCGTGCTAAAATGACTCACTTCACTCAAGTTACTACAGCTTCACAACACTAAGATTGACTTCTTGTAATATTACATACTACATACAAATATTTATGATCACAAAGAAGCACTTCAACTTAATCTGTATGACATTTGTTTTATTGTTTCAGAAGGATGATCTTTCTGAAAAGAGCTAATTTTTTAAAAAGCATTTAAAGGCTCAAAGTAAAACAATTTTCTGAGCTATATTTTCCCATACAGATACAATTATTACATTACATTTATTACATAAAAGTCTAACACCCACTTCCAAAGAAACACAGATAAATTAATGCTGACAGTTTTTGGAAAATCCAGTGTGAAGTTGCTTAGTTTACAGCAGGACACTAAGAAGAGCTCACAGCTGGCTCTAGGTAAGTGAGCTGATCTGGGAGCCCAACCCACAATGTGTACAGCAGTGCCAAACAGCACTTCACAGAAGTGACCTTGGATGCCTGGAAATCACTAGTTTGGTCTCAGATCTATCCATGGCAAGGGAGAGTTACCCCCACTCTGATTCTTCCCAGGGCTGCTGGTTTAAAGGCTGCCTATGGATTCTGCCAGAGCACAAATCCAAGCTACTCCCAGCCTCAGCCTGGCTCCACATGTTCACACAGCAATACCTCAGATGCAATGAATCCTACTGCAAACACCTGCATGGACATTAAAATACCTAAAACCAAGACTGCAGGGATTTTAGCTCTGCATTACTTTAAATAAAGGAGAATTGCCTGCTTATGTCAAGAAACAAAACCAGAGTAGTTTGTGGTTAGTCTCATACTGCCATCTACTGAAAAAAACCAAGCTACTTCTCTACAAATCTGTTCTTCTGTTTGTGAGTCTTCCCACCGCATCTCATAGCAAGATTACCTGTGATTTTATTTCCTCAGCTGCAAAGAAGACTGCAAAACTTTCTACTCTTCCATTCTTATGTAACACTAGAAGTGTATAACATTCACAAATATCAAGCCACTATCCACTAAAACTCCTGAGCCTCCTGCAGAGTCCAGATGCCTGCATATTAGCCAGGGAGGAAGATTAAAAATGTTGTGAGGGGTCTACATAATTAAAGCTGATGGGTTGTATCAGTAGAACAACCTCTGTACCAATGGAATGACCACACACTTTCTCCTGCTTTCTGTGGAGCCCATTTATCAATCCAAATCAAGCACAGGATATACATAATTTAACAGACAAACTTAAGAAACAGCAAAATTACAATGAGGTTTATTCTTTAGCACATTCTTTGAATTTTGTCTTTTACAAAAAACGAGGAGAATAAGCCATTGAAGAGAAAGTTTTACTTCCTACTTACCCCCTTTTCTGTTGCACAAATATCTGTATTGCCATGAAGTGTTCCAAGACCAATTACTTTGCCACCATTTGTCCGTATATCTATTTTATGGCTCTGAAAAAAGTTCAAAAATCATACAGTTAGGACAACCATAACTAGAAAACCAGTTATCTTGTTTTTCAAGTTGTACCACATGAATCACTGGAAGCCTTAGTCCTGAAGGCAGAACCAGATTCTACGGTGTTTCACTGTACACAGATTCTAATTAGAATTGTTTTGCATAAGGCAAATGTCCAGTTTTTAATAAATTAGACACGTTTCAAGTAACAACTGCTCTATAGCACTTACACCTTCCAGCTGTTGCTGCATACAACCAACAAGAGGAAAAAAATACAGAAATACACATAAACTAATCTCAAAAAACTAAAAAAACCCACCAGGTCTTGACAATAAAATATATCCATTTGTAAAAGAGAAAAAAATCTTTTAAAAATCAGATTTAAATAAATAGATTGTTCTCTCCTTATACAGTAACATGATGAATTAAATGTTGCAATTTGCCATCACAGTTCCTTTGAGGCAGGTACACCATGCTTGTTATCAGAATAATGGTTAAACAGCAAATCCTTCAAACATGTAACTTCAGGAGAATATGGGAACTTGCAAGATTGGAAAAACTAGTGTATAGCAAGGGCTCACCAGTATGGCCACTTATAGTTCAGTAAAAAAAAAACCAAAAAACAACCAAAACAACATAGACACTAATTCCCTCCATCCCAAATCATTGGAATATCTTCCTAACCAAAAAACAAGTAGGCTTTCAGAGGTAGGCATCTCTAGAGACACCTAACAGCAGGATTTGCTGAGAGAAGATCCCAGTTACAATGGTCAAGCAGCTTTTTCACCAAGAGGAAATATTCCACCAGCTGAAAGAAAAAAAGCACTAATTTTTCAAAGGGCTTCTCTAAGCAAGGGAGAAAGGTTTGAATAAGGAAGAGGCAAAAGGCTGTCAAGACCTTAACAGATGTAGGAGGAAAACCAGAAAAATTTGTTCAGAAGAAGAGAAGGACAGTGGTGCAGGAGGAACGAGGCTCAGACATGGTGTGTGCTGAGGAAGCACAGCAGGTCTTCTGCCAGGGTGAGCGAGATGCCTGGAAATTCTTATCACCAGCAGAGTCAAAGAGTCAGGAGAAACTGAGGAACATGGAACCATAATTAAAGGGTCTCCCTGGTGGCACTGTCACAATAAGCACAATAAAAAAATAATTGAAAAGAAGTATTGCTTTCTCAATCAAGAATTTGTGAATAATTCACACTCTGAAGAAGACCAAAATGCCAAAACTGTGTTTTGGAATTACTGTTGCTATTAGTTGACCTAGAGACTTAGAAGGGATAAGGTGAACTGGACTTCAGGCAATTAAAAAACAACCACCACCCAAACAAAACAAAAAAATTCAATGAAACCACCCTCAACAAATCTCACTGGCTGGGTAATGTCTACCACAGCAAAACTGCCAGATAAAATCCATTAATAAGCCTCACAGAGACTCCTCCTTTCTGTTCAATTGCTAGTATGCATGATTAAGCAAAGTAGAGGTCAAATCCCTAAGTCTTTTGTAAAGACACTATAGATTGTATATATTAAAAAAAAGCTTTTTTAAAATTACAATTTATACTAAACTTCTTGCAAATTATGAAAATTAGCAGTTGTGAAGCTGTTTGCTGGTGGTCTTGAGTAATCCCTACATGACCAGATTTTTTTCATTTAAAGTCATTTATCAACAATCTTTTCTCTCTCCTGTAAAGAAAGGCTCTCCTGCTTTGTTAGCTAATGAGGTTTGTTTATAGCAGTGAACCAACACTAAAAGAGTTTTAATCCATCCAGGGGAGGGCACTATCACTTCAGTTTGCTCAGTAAAGCAAATTCCCAGAAAGGGAATCAGCTCTTATGCTTCACTTCAGCATCTGGTCCACAACATTTTTCACAGTTTTGGAAAAACTCTGAAGGCTAATACTTCTTTTTCTCTCAAATAATTCTGCTTCTCTGATAATACAGAGTATAATTCCTGAAGCTTTATTAGAAGAAATTAGTTCAGTCACCTTACTAGAACTACAGTAATTAAAAACAAGATTAGACTAAAATCCAACTCTTAATTTTTAAAATTCAAGATATTTCACATCTTGGATTGTATTTGAGACAAGATTCCCAGAAGAGAAGTTAGCAGTCTTTCCTCAAAACCATCTTTTCCCGTGACACCACAAAAAATTCTTGATGTGCTGGCATGATTACTGTCACTATTACTGGCCAAAACCACCTTGTTTTCTCCTACTATGCAGTTTCTCATGCACTGTTGTTGTCATTATTGCATAGCATAATAATTTTTAATGAAAAGTTTAGATGGGCATGACATAGTACTATTAACTTGTTAGATTTTAGTTGCCTTTATTAGAGTAAAATGGTCAATTACACAGAATCTGGAAGGTTCAAGCTGTCTATAGCTCCCCACCTGTAGAGCACACCTAGCTCTATTGTATATTACACCCCTCCCTAAAAGCTCAGTTCTCCCTATGACTGTTAGAAAATCATTCATTACCACAATACAGAAAAATGTTGAAAAATTTTCCATATCTCAACAAATTTGGCCCTTCTTTTAAATTCATACAAATTCCTGCAGGTTCAATCCCAAACAATCAAGTGAACTTGATTCCAAATAGCACCTAAGTCAGATAAATTGTGATTAATTTTACAACAGCTTATGTCAGCAAACTTGAAGCCTTAAGACTGAAAAAACAACCTCGTGCCTATGATACATACAGTATATATCAGATATTTCAGTCAGGTATTTTGGACATTTAATGTGTAACTTCTGATTGAAAATTAACTTAAAGGGATTGTCAATAGCTCTGATATACCAATTATTAAAAAAAAAAAAACCACACACATACAAAAAAAATCAGCAGCAAGCTGCAAAGTCTTGATTGAGCAGGCAAAACAATTAACCTACTGGACAGGAAATCCCAGTCTATTTTTTTTCTTTGAGGGATAGGGAAGACAGGGATCAGGCTGACTGCTGTCACTGTTTCTGCTGGCTTTGGCTGTCACAGGTACATGGACTTCTGACTCCTCATTATTTACTGGTTTTGACTTTGTGCCTCAATTGTATGTGATCATTAAAGGTGAGGTGCTGTACACACAGCAATGCGAGTGTTGTAATGAGAAATACCAGAGAACTGCTCACCTCCAGAGCTGGTGTTTAAGTTTTGACACTACATCCCACCACACAATCCCTTTTCAAGCAGTGGGAGAGGGTTCTTTGTACCTTTATGGACTGCAAGACACTAGTCCCCTTCTCTGTTTCTATTTTGCAGTTATCACATTCTATTTTCTGAATCTTCACGCAGCCAGTCCCTGACGTTTTGATATCCAAATCTAGAATTAAAAGAGTTTTATTAGCAATAGAAAAAAAAAAGTCAGATATCTTTAACATAGTATTTGATCATGTTACACAGTAACCATACATAAGGAAAAAGAAAATAAGGAAAAAGCTTCTTTGTTACTAAAAACCTGCTTGCTGTGTCTGGCCATGCACTGTCAACAGCAGGAATTGTCGCTATCAGCTATGGACACGAAGTTTGGTAAGCCAGTGTTTGAGTCATACAGCTCCAAGAGAGAACATAAGGAAGAAGAATTTATGTAACCTGTGGCAAGGAATCAGCAGGGTGTGAACCTTTAGCGAAGCCTCATCTTTTTTCTTTTTTAACTCCACCTCCATCTCCTATCTACCCTAGGCACCAATTCCATTAGAATTCTACTTACACCCTTGGGCACCCTGACACACAGGTTGGGGTAGAAGGTTGGCAGGTGTCTGAGCCACGTGTATGGAATGATAAGGTTCAACAGCACAAATAAGGTTCACACAAGCCTTGCTGCTCCCCTGGCCAGCAGCACAGCCCCAAACCAGGCACAGAACATTGGTGTGTGTCATTCTCCCCAGGCTTTGCAAAGCCTGACATTCTCCTGGCATGCAGAAGCACGTTTGCCTCTAGCCTGAGTCACCTCACCTTGCTACTGTTCATAGACTCCCACAAAGAAAAATCACCAGGTCCTGTGAATAAGACGCAGGGGCAGCAAAACACTTTTCTGCTGCTTGTCTCACCCTTGGGTTCAAGGAATGGGAAGTAGTTTCAGAATGTACAGTCTGGGGATTCTGTCTATATCAATAATCATTTCTATACTGTATAAATAACCATCAAAAGGTAAAGGCAGGAGAGGAAAAAAGTGGTTTTGTTCTTCTAAGGATAAAAGATAATAAAGAAAACAAAAATTGAACAGCAATCAGAAGTGTTTGCTGCAAGACACAAGTGAAGAACCAAGATCTGACAGGATCAGATAGAGAGCCCAGTTACTGCCTAAAGGAAAGGAGATTATTTGGTAAAGAAACTGTCCTTTAAGCAAATGTGAAAGTCTTTCCTTCACTGCCACTGCCTGCTAAGGTTATCAGAAAGATGAAAAGAATAATCAGAATGTACAAAACAAGCTTTTCCCCAAGGAGATTCCCAAGTGAGACCTGTGACCCAGCAGAGCCTGAAGATCAATACCATCACAGTGCTGCCCAGGACAGCAGTGTCCTCCTGTCCTGCCTCCTGGAACCATGACAACAGTAAGCTTCAGACCACGAAGGCAAGAGACTGAGAGCTCCAATTAACAACAAGGGGAAGTTTTGTCACCTGGCAAACTAGAGAATCCAAAAGACAGAGCTAAAACACAGCATCTTTGCAGCAAGCATGCTCCTTATGGCTGCAGTAAGCCAAAAGGTTAAATTTAGTGAAGGATGTAGACCACATTCAAAGGTTAACAACTCCTTAAGAGAAAAGACTGTAAGAGATAAACTGGAAAGCAATGCTGTTTTTGAACAAGCTGTCTTGCCCAGACTGCTCAATTCACCCACTGGACAACTGCATGGTGCCTGGGAAGGTCTACAACCAAGACTTCTGCTATTCTGCTTTCTGAGAAGAGTCCCAAAAGCCAGTTTGCCTGTGCAAATCTTTGAATTCAATCAGCTTGAAACCCTGCTGCTCTTACAAGGGACAGGAAAAGGCTTGAGAGTGCTTGGTTTAGTCATGATACAAAGTTACTAAGACTTTTACAAGAATAAAGTTAATAAAAAAACCTTCTGATCCTGTAGAGCACATTATTGCCATCATTTGAGAAGGTGGGTTAGTAGTGTAATCCTAGACACCAAAAATGGGTGCTAAAAGAGGACTCAGATGTCTGGAAATTCATAAACAAGTCATTAAGAAACACCAGGGACTTCTGGAAGTACACTTTGTGCCTTGATTCTCTGCAGTCACACCACTTTGCTAGCCTATATATAACAAAAATTAGTGGACAAGGAATTCAGCCCCTCTGTCTCTTTCCTTCTGAGCTCTCAAACCAACGATAAACAGCTCCATAAAGATGCAGACTGAAAGCTGGATGATATTGCCAAGGAAATTTTAACAAGGAGGAACAAGATACAATCTGTTTTGGTGCCAAAACTCCAAAAATAGCCAGTTTGATTCCTCCCTAGCAAAGACAGGGCTGAAGCCAACTTTAGCCACATAAACCACAAAGAATGCATGAAGATCTTTGTGGTGTAAAAGACTTGTATCAGAAATTAAAGTATTTAGGAAAAAAGAAGCACTTTGGTATCAGAATACAGGCAGGGGTATCCCAGGGTATTTAAGCACCTCCGTTATTAAAATGCCTTAAGATATAATACTTGAAATAGACTGGATAATTATTTCTTTCCAGATGACTCAGCAGCCCTAGACTACTAGAATTATCTCAAATTATGGTTATGCAAGCCCTCAGTACAGTTTACTTCTGCATACTCACGCAGTCAATGTACAGTAATCAGAAATCAAAGGGCTGGTTTCAGGTTTAATCAACACATGCAAAAATAAATAAGCTTAATTAAACAGAAGTTCCTTGACATCTGCCATCGATGAAGGTTAGATGTATCAGAGAAGTTATCAGATCATGTATGGTATTGAAATCCTAAACAGAGCTCAAAAATAGACACTAAGACAAACAGAGGGTCTTTTGGTACTTGCCCTACTAAGCTGCTTGGAGATGGCCTTTGGTTTAAAAGGCATATTTAAGCTCAGCATCTTCCACACATGCTCTTCATTCAGGCTCTGAGGAGCTTTAGACAACTTGCAGCTTCCTGGATGAGCTCCAACCCAAATTGCGAAAGCTGTTATGAAATGCCTTAACTTCCAAAGTGAAGAAAATATGAACACTGAAAAGAGATGCACATCAACCTCTCACCTTCCTGCAGCTAAGAGACTGATAGAGCTCAGGCAGAACCACCTGAGCAGAACAGAGCTAACATCTTCCTCATGCATCCAAGGAAAGCAGAGAAAAGCCAAAGTGTTTTTTAGAGCAACAACAGCTCCTTTCTGGTTTGAGATGTGCTTCTACAAGGGATAAATCTTTTGTTTACGTAATGATATTTAATGGATAATTCTTTTAGAGCAACAACAGCTCCTTTCTGGTTTGAGATGTGCTTCTACAAGGGATAAGATCTTTTGTTTACATAATGATATTTAATGGATAATTTTCTAAATAAATAAACCGAACAACTCAAGCACAAATACTCAGAAAGTCAAAAAAACCCCAAAACTAGAGCTGAAAGGACACTTAAAAGTAGAACTCAGTACAAGCAAAAATTCTACTTCACTGAATAAAAACTTAAAACAACCAAACCCCACAAGCTTACGTTTTTGTAAATACATGTCTAGATGCACCCAGATGACAGCATGAACAATACTAACATCATGCCAACCATGGGGTGACAAAGAGCCACTTGTGGAAGGACATTACAATCCACAGATTGTCCAGGGAACCTGAGTTACATGATCTTACCACAAACCCAAGTGGAATAGCTTAGAAACCTACAAAAAAAAAAAAAACTGTCTCAAGAAGAAAGCCCCTAAGAGTGTCTGCAGTGCTGGCTGACATTCAGAATACAGTAAGAATCTCAAAGACAGGACAACAGTGAAATGATTGCTTTCCATCAATCAGGATTCATTATCAAGACTATCAGAAAGATTCCTCACATTGAAACCCTTTATAAAGATTGAAATTCTTCACATCTTAACACAATGAATTCTGCACCTTGAGAATGACCAGCTCTGGACTTGTAATAGTCACTCTGAGATCCTGGGAAACTGAAAGAGTAAAGGACAACAGTAACCAGACACACCTGAGAATTGAAGGGTAATAAATGAGACACTGGGTTTGAGTCTCAGCAATTATGGGATGCACTCTGTCACTGTGCTACAGACAAGCCAAGGTAATCTTTGTGCTTTCCAAGCAAGGGAGGGGAAAAAATTAAAAACAAGAGCTGTAAGATGGCAACTGAAAATTCTCAGGTAAGAGTCAAGACTACTAGACTTGGAGAAGACAGCCCAGCTACAGTTCAGTGACTGAGCCAATAAATAGAGAGGTAACAGCTGATCTGTTTAAGAGAACCAACTTGGACTTTCAAATGTTTACAATACTTTAACAATATCCTTAGTTCCATATTGTCTTTCAGCTATAAGCTGTGCATCACCTTCAGCAGTACAAGATGCTGGAAATCAGCACAAATAGCAAGGCTGAAAACTTATATCAATGACACCAAATTATTCAGACTAGTTAAAAACTCACTGACAAATTGCAGGAGGACCTTGGAATACCACATACTCAAATGATAAATTAGCAGGAAACTAAATTGTGGGACTCCATCAGGAGTTTACCAGGAAGCTCTCACCCTGAAACTGTTTCCATGTCTAAAGGGACACTCAGCAGAGAGATCCACTGAGGGGTAGAGCTGTATCAGGCTCTGAAAATCCTGTGATGAAAACAGTTGACAGCTAAGACAATGCTTAGATGAAATATCATTTACATTTCTTCTGTTCTTACTCTTCCCTGAGCATCTGTTTATGACCAGAGCCAGGGCAATGGCTGCTGGAGTCATGGTCATTCTGTATTTAGTTACAGAATACTTGTGCATATATTAGTTGCTAGGAAACAAAACAGACCCTAAGTTGTGATAAACATATTTAAGAAACACCCCTTCAGTTATAAGCAGTGTTTAAAAAAAATTAAATTATAGGGATGAGTAAGACTGGAAAATGTGGGAATGATGTTATGTTAAACCCATAGATCTTCTCCATTTTTAATTATATACAGTTCAGGTCCTTCTAAAAGAAAACAAGAAAAAAACCAAAACACATTGCAGAATTTTCCCTAAGACACAGAGTGGGGAAAAAAGTAAAGTAAGATAAAAGGTGCAGGATGTCTTTGCTGTATGTAACATCATATTCTACAAAAGTCATAGATTACATGTATGAAGAGTAAGTAGGGTGGGATTATTCATCATTTCTTGTATCACAACTACAGCAGGGCATTAAAAAAAATAATGCAGCAGTCTTCAATAACTTTAAGAAAACAACAGACCAGGTGCATTGTACATCAAAAAGTTTTCCCAGCATGATGAAACATTCTGCACTGTATAGGAAATTGCCCAAATCCATAAGAAAAAAACAAAGGCACATTAGTGACTGAACACAGATCTCTGAGTTTGTACTCCCTAAACTCAGGGCCACTGTCAGAACTTCACTGTCAGTTCAGCAGAGATGTTTATTGGCTTCAGCCACCACAGCTGCTCTCCCAAACTTGTTCCACACAAGGAACCCTGCACAGACTGTAGCACTGCGCCCAAAAAGATAACACAAGGCTTGTGCAGGACAAGGGAGCCCTTCTCGGCATTCCATGCAGGCTCTGGCGCTTTGGGGAGCACAGCGGGCGCCGCCGGGGCGGCTGCGGGAGCCGAGGATGCCGCCCGGGAGCCGAGCCCCGAGCGGAGCCGCCAGGCACGAAGGACAGCGAGGCTCCGGTGTCCCTCCCAGCTCGAGTCCCACACTGCTGGCAAAAGGGGCAGCGACAGATCCCGAATCCAAACACGCGGGAGCACGGGAAACGGGACGGGGCGTTCCGAACCGGCGCGACGCCGACTCCCAGCAGCGGCTCCCGGCCCGGCCCGCGATCCCCGCGCCTCGCCCGCACTCACCGAACTTCACCGGCGTCCGCACGTCCACGGCGGCCTTGCTGTCCACGCCGTCCGCCTCGATGGCCACCTGCCCCAGCGCCTCGTCGTGCTCCACCCGCACCGCGCCCCGCTCCCGCTCCCGCCCGGGGCTGCCGCCGCTCACGGCCACCAGCACCCGCTCCGCGCCCGGCCAGCGCTGCGGGTCCAGCGGGCGGACGCTCACAGTCAGGAGAGTCGGGAGCGCCCGGGAGCCGCGCCGGGAGCGCCCGGGACGGGCCGAGGCCGCTCCTGACCCCCGGCCGGTCACGTGGCGGGGCTGCACGCGGGGAGCGGCACCGGCACGGCCGGTAAACAGGCGGTGGCTCCGCCGCGGAGCCTCCTGGGAGCCGTAGTTCTACACCGCGCGGAAGGAACTACAGCCGTGCCCACGGGCCTATCGGAGAGCGGGGAGGGCGGGGCATTGCCCAGAGTCTGCGGCTATTGGGCGGTGGTGCTGGACTCTGCAGCCAATCAGAAGCGCGGGCCGCTGAGGCGGGCGGGAGGCGGCGCGCGGGTCGCCATAGCGACGGGGACGCCGCTCGGCCGGGCCGGGCTCTGCGGCGCCGGGAGCAGACCGGGCACCGGGGCCGGGCCAGGAGAGGCAAAACCGCCGCTCCGACGTCGAGCCGGGAAGTAAGTGAAGCGGCGCCGCCAGAGCCTTGCTTGAGGAGTCCCTGAGGGCCGGGGGTGCGAGCCCCGGGCGGGGCCGTGTCCCGCGTGAGGAGAGGAGGGCCCGCGGGCGGCCCGCCTGCCCCCGGTGCGCTGCGGCCTGCAGCCGGCCTGCGTGCGCGGCACTGTCCTCCCTCAGCCGGTGTAGGAGCACTCTGGCGGATGAGTTGGAAAACCACCTATTTGTTGTTGGTTTTTTTAAAGTGATAGCACAAAGCACCAGAATCGCTCCCTGTCAGTAACTTTTGGTCCATAGGTCAGGCGTTGTACTGCTTTTTAGCAGTTCTGAAGCCACGCAAATAAATAGTTTCCTGAGTTCTGTGCAAATACACCATGACAAAATTGTCCTTCCCGGGGTTTACACACAAGTAACCATTTAATTCCATTTAAAAGACTCTTCTGGACTTTGTAGCCCACATTATCATCATACAACAATTTTAAAAAATGAGGTGGGGCATGTGGGCAATAGATGATTCACAGTCAGGGGCTGAATTCTAGTAATAGTTGTTGTTTACTGCCAATAATGAGAGAGAAAAATGCACAGAAAGCTGCATTGTCTTAGCAAGATTGCAACACAAGTAATAATGAAATCTGGGCCTGTTACTTAATTCCTGTCTCCCTTTTGCATTCCATGTGTTTCTTTTTCATAAATAACCATGCAAGCATGATACTTAGTCATCAAATACTTTTCATCTCATTAGCCCTATTTCCATTTCTGTCACTGTCTGGTTTTGATTATTTATGAATCTGAAATGACATCTCAGTGTCCAAGAGGAAAGAAAATTGCCCTATTTTTTTGGTCCATCAGTAATTTTCACTGTGGAAAGTTTAATGAATATTCATATTCACCAATAAAGCCCATCAAGTTAAATTATTGCATTGGTTTCCATTACTCAGTCTCAAAAGATCATTAGGCTAAACACAAAAAGGGCTAGCCTGTTTTATGATAGTCTAGTATACGAAATTGAATTCTAGAGAGTCAAAAAAGTATAAAAAATATCTTGGGACTTGATGGAGGCTGGAAGGTTTTTTTTTCCCAAGTCTTCAGAAATAGTGGATTTTGGGAAAGAAATCTACAAAATTCTCACCCTTGAGACCAATACCAAATTTGGATGTCAGATTGTTTGTCAAAGGAAAGTTGCAGATGTGCAACAAGTGTGTTGCAATGTGCTGTGACTCCACTAGATGACAGCCAGTTCAGCAAAGAACTCTGTGCTCCCTCTGCTCCGAGGGAATCCGGGCCCTGGAGAGGGGGGTCACTGCTGCCCCCCTTTCTCCCTGGGTCAGTGCTGCTGTTCCTGATCCTCCACGCCCACCTCCCCTGCTGCTTTCCCACAGCCCCCTTTGCTTGGTATTTGATGCTCCTCACATAGGCAGGGGTTTGTCAGCACCCACAATCTGCACTAAAATGTGCTCTGCATCACCTTAATGTTGTCAGGCTTTGCATAGTTGAGAAGTTAGTTCAAGAAACCATTCCAAGGTGTTTAAGCCTCAGTTGTGTTTGTATTTCACTGTCGCTGTTGGGTTTTCTCATGGCATACAGTCTAAGCATACATGGTTAAAAATACTGAACAAAACAGAGAAAAGGTAATTACTAGGAAGAAGTTCTTTCTCCATCATGTGTTTAATGTTTTACTTATGTCATCTATATTTTTTCCTATATTGATTCTGTTTCATTTTCATGCTTTTGTTTGGATCAGCTGATATAGGATGTAGCAGACTCCAACAATGAAAGAATATGTATTTATTTACTTACTTACTTATTTTTTTCCCTCTTTCATTTTTCATTTGTTATTTGCTAGGAAAAGAAAGTTATATCAAATTTATAAGTGAAGATATAATTAGAACTCCACTTTTGATAGCTACATGATTTCATAGTGAATTACAATCCTTATCTGCCATTTTACCACATATTGGTGTTGTATGCCAAAGAATATTCAGTATTTCATGCAAAAGATTAAAAAAACCCTAGAATTCCTAGAAGTTCTTTAAAGTGTTTTAAAATAGATTTTAAGCCAAAGCATTATCAGATGCAATTTTAGGCTAAGGTGAGAGAGAGATTTCAAGGAACGAGGAATTAAATAAGAGGTATTTACAGGAGAGGCTGTAGAAGGATACATTTTTCTAACTTTTGTGTTTGGAATTTATCACAGAATAATCACAAACTGCTGCAGGTACCCCCAGGGTATAAACTTAGTCTGCCTGGGCAGAATTAATTTTACCCATTTGCTAAAATTGTAATTAAGAAATAATGTGACTTCACTTGGGAAAATAGGGCCACCTTTATTTTTATTTTGGGTTCTTTTTAGTGGTGCATTTCTGAACTGCTTCCTTGAATCTTCTTAGTTCTTAAGGTCTAGGGTTCAGTAGGTAGGCAAATTAGGTTTTGTTTGTTTCCTCCTCTGTACTTTAGCATGGCAAGGCACACAATGGTTTGGATTTCAGGGATTTTCTTGTTTATCTTTACCAGAAATTTTCTGAGGAAAGTTCCTCAAGGAAACCACGTGAAATGGGAAGTGACAAATCTTACCGTTCAAATTCTCCTTGTCTTGGGCATATCTAATTAGAACTCCAGCAGACAAAGTCTGTGTATGGCTCAGGGTGGCTCTTTCCCAAACAACAGAGACTTGAAAACAGGGGAAAACAGCCGAACTCATGACAGAAATTGTTGAGCAGTTTATGTTGTGCTCTCATTTCCCCAAAGTGGTGAGAATGTACAGTCTAATCAAACAATCCATTCTGATTCACATGCCTTTGATAATGTCCTATTGTGCATGATGTTGTTTTAAATTCAAGTATTGTTTAATGTTGGTGTGGTTTTGTTCTTTGAAGACACACCTATTCGTGCTGAACACAGGCTCCACCCAGTTAAAACAGAAGGGGGTTTTAACTTTAGGGAAAAAGCATTAAAAAAATTTTAGAGGGTGGAAAGAGGATCACTGTGTGATAGAATAAATCTGTGGTGCTCCTGATATCAATATTATCTGTAGGTCTCATCCTTTCTCTTTGAGGAGGACATGGTAGAACTGAAAAAGTTTTGGAGAAGGATCAGGACAGTGGAAGGCAGAGAAGTGCTTTCATGCCAGTGACAGCAGGTGGATTGCCTGCTTCAGCCTAGAAAAAGGATTTTCAAATGATGATTCAACATTAGGGATAAACCTAGTGGCATAGAAAAGTTGTGATTATTCAATGATTCATCCAGTAAAAAAACTAGGTCACATCAAGAGCCATATTCAAAAGCAACAAGAAGCTCTGGTTACTCATACTGAGGTAAAATTAAGATCTCCATTCCCCTGGATTTTACCAATACTGAAAGTTTTGAGTGAGTTCAGGGAGAAAGGGGGTGGGTTCGTAGAAGCATCACCATACCATGACTGGGGGGTACTTCTCTCCCTCCCCAGGCATCCCGCTCTGGGCTGGAAGTGTGCAGCTACCTGATTCACCTTCCTACATGCATCTCTTTATGCTCAGAATAAAATTTTACTACTTTTTGCATCTGTCACTGAAAATAACAAATGCAGCTAAATGTCACCTACCTGAATTCTGCACTGATTTGTGCATGAACATTGCTGTTTACTAGAGAGAGACAGAAGTAAAGATGCTGAAATCAGTTTGGGGAATCTGAGTTCAGACTTCTATTATTATTGCTGCCCTGAAGCTCTTTCACAAGACAATTCTCAGCCTGATTTGACCCAGGTTCCAAAACAGCCTTGTAATTCCCGTCCTCTGCAATTCTGTGTCTTGGATCAAGGCTGTGATATCATTTGCAGTTCTACAGTTTGCAAGCATTCTTACTTGTTGGGCTATTCTGTGAAGTTAGATATCATGACAACTTGTAGTCCTATTTCAATTAGACAGTTTATTTAGCAGATATTGCAAAGACACAAATTTTCCACTTCGCTTTTTGAAGTTTATAGATCCAATTTAATATAAGCTGAATTATATATTTAGTAATGTAGTAGTTAAGGGAAGAATGCTAAACTTAATGTCTCATAAACCCACGTATGTTTTGTTTATTTCTGCCCCCTCTTAAAACCACGTGGAGACAAAGGCTTGTCACACTAGCTGAGGCTGTCTAATGGTTTTTCTCTGTCTCATCTTTCTGTAGCTGTTTCTTAACATAAAACTATAAGCTTTTCAGATTCAGAAGATTTTTTTCCGTTCTCTCCCTGCCCAGCAAACTGGAGTCTTGGTGAGGACTCTTTTGCACTACTGTACCAGGAGGAGGTATATTTTTGACTGATGTCAACTCTATGTTTCACATACAAGTATTGATGAATATGCCTACACCCATGAAACTCTCACATTTTGGCATTGTTCTACTCAGAGTTTCTGCCACAGTGCTTTTCCCTCTGTCTAAATTCTAAGTTGAGAAGAAAAAATAAAGCAACAGTAGCCACAAACACAAAATGCATATGCTAAAATATTCAGCAGTTCTTTACAGATGAAAATCACTCGCCATTTATAAATATGTATACATGTTTATGTACAGTAACTCAGAGTTTATTTCTTGGCCTCTATGATGTTTACAGTTATTTCACAATGTTTTGACTCCTCCAGAAGGGATCATGAAATTGCTTTTTTTTCCATAAGCAAATACAGACACTGAAAGCTCTCTGAAAGTCAAAATGTTCCTGAAGGAATTCCAAACAGTACTGAAGAAAGTAATAAACTTGCCAGTTTAACTTGCACTACCTTTACTTGCACTTTACCATTACTACATAACCTTTACAGACAAGTGGCTTTTCAAAAGGTGAATACAAATGACACAGCAGTTTTGTATCCATTTTCCCATCACAATTATAAAAAGAAATTATATTTTTCTTATCTGTCAGCTGTCTGGCTGTAGAGTGGCAAATTGCACTGTCCATCTCATTGAAAAGATCTGGTATATATTATAGAAATTGTCTCAACATTTCTTCTTAATTTTATTACAGTTTTAATTTTGGTTGTCCTTGATTTATAGTGAGATACTCTCTTTTAAAAAAGAGAAAGGTTTCCCGTATATTATGTGAAATGCTAAATAATGTCAAGACTGCCTAATTTGAAGAGGATTCTGCATCTTTGGCAGCTGGGTTGGGTTTTATTGTGATGTGGTTCCATAGCAGAGTACAATGTGTTCTGCATAATAGCTAATGTAGAAAGTCCTTCTGGTGTCAGGTGAACATTTGCAAAAGTTGACGATCTTTCTCCCAAAATTTCGCACTAATATACTGTGATACTGATCTGTCCATTCCTGTCATCTACAAACACCTTCAGTGAGCTTGAGAAGGAATTCTTGAACTCCTCCATCTCCACTGTGAACTGTGCTTTGCTCTACAAATGCTCCACGCCTCTCCTCTCTCACTATGTCATGGCAAGATTTCTGTGTGCCCCACAAGTCCCTCTTCCCCTCTCTTCCCTCTGTAAGATGCCTATTGCCTCTGATGGATCACCCCATGTATGTTTTTGTCACCTTTCATGCTTCTTCATGTAAAAGGTTGATAATTTAAAACTCTTTGGATAGACAAAACATGCTGTTATGCCAGAAGATGTGTTTTTCAGATATTAATTCACGCTTGATGTAATGATGAGGACCTACCTGATGGACATTGCTATTGCTGTCTTATCAGGGTACCAGGAGCATTGTATCCCCTTGTATTCCACCTCCCATTTCGCTCACCCACCCTGGAATTTTCACACATCTCAAAGAGTTCTGATGACTGAAGCTTGGGAAGATAATTCTCAAGTGCTGGACCAAGAGTGTAAACACAAAGTGAAATTATAGAAACTTTTATGGCATTAAGTCCCATTTTGCTGAGAAGTAAGTACTGAATGTCTTTATCTAACTGTTTCTAATGGAAGTATCATAGAGATTTATATTCCTATATGACAGATATTAATATGGGTTTTTCTATAATATAAATATAGCAAAATTATGTTTTCCAACAACCCTGCTTGTTTCAGCCTTCTTTTATTTCTTTGTCTGTGCATTTATTAAAAGACTATATTACCTAATGGAATGAGAGCTTTCTTCGGGATATTTTAAAAATACTCAAGAATATGATAGAATGATAGTGCAGCCTCTTGCATGATGTCTTTTGTGAAGCTGTAACTGTAGAGTTACCTAACTTGCTCACATTGTGACTTCTATGATTTGGATGTGGGTCTGACATGTTGATGTAGTGGTTTTTACACTACACACTTATCTTTCACAATCAGATATATCCTTGAATCTAATGAACTGTATTGGTGTTTTTGTTACTTTCTAGAGCTTTAAACAATGAGTCAGGCTGATGAAGAAAGTGCCACTGACACAGAGCTGGCAACTGAGAATGAGTCACCTACCTCTGCACTGATTGCAGCAGCTCCTAGCCAGGAGGAGGAACCCACTGACCTGACAGCAAGTCCTGCATTTCAGTGTTTAGATGAGGTATCACATGCCCCAGATTTCTCTGTCTGTAACAGTACAAAGTGATTATTCTGAGGTGTATCTTTTGCTGTTAATAATTGAAGGTTGTTACGTTTCAGTGTTTAAATGAGGTATCATGTGACCCAGATTTCTGTCTGTAACAGTACAAAGTAATTATTCTGAGGTGTACTTTTGCTGTTAATAATTGAAGGATGTTGATAATCCACATAGACTATCTATATCGTCCCCATTTCTTTGATTTTTTTTCCTAAGTGGTAAGAAAATTTTGTGAAGCAGTGTCATATTCTTGCTGGGGATGCTGTGCTTGATAGAGAATCATGTTATTTTTTACATTGATCATGGCCTTAAGGGGAATGAGAATACAGAGGTCTTGGTTTTGGTCTTCTAGCATTCTATCTGTAGAGGTAATTGCATCATGATTTTTTAAAAGGCTCTGTAGCTGCAGGAGAAATCACAGGTAGGTGGTTCCCGAGGCACTATTAATTGATTATGGTGATAGAAGAAACCTTTTGGAGCTCAGTTTCTTTTGCAATGTTTTTGTGTTAAGGAGTGTTTCAAATACGAGAAGTATTTTAAAGTTTTAAATATCAAATATGTATCAAATGGAATCCTTAAAAATGTAAGGCAAAAGAGTCATTAAGAGATAATCTAATCCAAAGTTGCCACTGAAGTAGATTCTCTGCAGATATTTGTCTAATTTGTTCTTAAATCTTTAATTGGTGGAGATAGCTCTTTGGATATCCTTTTTCCAGCATGTCATCATTGCCAGGGTTTTATAAAAAGTTTTCCCTATATCCCAGTTTAAGTTTTCTTTGTAGTGAATAATGAAGCTTCTTGTCTTTCCCACATTAAAAAAAAGAGACCAGCCAATTTCTGCCCTCTTTATAATAAAAAAGTACATCTCTCTCTTGTATCCTTATCAGGCGTTGTTCATACTTCATGTTTTTCTTGAAGTTCTTACCTAAAGTAAGAACTTTACCTTGGACTCTTTCCATCTTGGGTGTGTCAGATCCTTTTGCTACCCTGGCTCTCACTCTCTGCCTACGATCTAAGGTCAGGAGAAAGGACGTGGCAAGAATTTGTAGTGAAAGGAAAAATAGGACTTGATTTTTCCTATCCTGATATTAGATCATACTGAACATAGTTTGAAGCTGCTGTTTCAGTCCAGTGCCAGTGTATGGGGAGCTTCCAGTATTGTTGCAGCACAAACCCCCTTTATTCTCAGTCCAAGGCAGCAGCAAAAGTGCCCCCATGCCCTTTCTAAACTGTATTCTGCATTTTTGCTTTGTTTTCCTTATTTTTAATCATGGTGAAAAGTAATTTTTCTAGACTTAATCTAGAAAATTATTATATTATTTGCCTGATTTTTTTCTCAAAAAATCTTTCCAAAGAGGTTGTTCTTCATATCAAATTTAAAGCTAACTTGTTTAACACTGATAATATTGTAAACCATTAATGGCAAATACAGGGTAAACTTAATATTTGGGGTTGTTCCCAACTTAGGAAAAAACATGCTGTGGAAAAAAAGTAAGAAATTTGCATAATATTTCATAAATGAGGTCTTCTGGTAATTTTGTCAATTTCTAGAAGAGAACTATGACTCATTTATTTCACCATATTTTTTAACAGTTTTCACTTGTACTTTACTGCTGAGTTTGGCTTTTCATCACTTATTCACATTTCTTCTCTTCCACTGACGTATTTGTTTTCTTTTGTTGAACTTTATACGTAATTCAGGGTTAAATATATGGCTTTGGTCACCATAGAGGTTTCTTGCATTGATGCTGGCTTCAGCTACTTGGAATAGCTTTCAGGATTTTTCCACAGAAACAGAATTGTATCATAGTATCTCAGTTTCACTGACTGGTCATTTATGCCTGCACAACTTATCAGAAAGGATGCCTTTTGTTATTATAAGATTTCTTTAAAAGCAGATATATGCCCTCTTCCTGTCAAGCCAGTCTTGTTTTTCTCATGTAAGTAGCAGATACTAAAACATACAAAGAGCAAGAATTAAAACATGCACACTATCTCTCCTTTATTTTTAATAAAACATTAATAGTAACATTGTTTAGCTTTGTGGGTTAGGTAGAAATATTAAAAACTTGACAGAGTTCAAACAAAAGCCACCCAATTCATCATGACTTTTTTTCACCAAGTGTTTTTATTTATTACCAAGCTGACATCTCCTGTTCTATTGGTTAGGGTACTACCATGTATTCACAGAATGAACTTACCACTTCTTTTAGCCTTTGTTGTCATGTCCTTGAAATAAAGATCTTTGCTCTAACCCTTCTAATTTAATTTCTTGAATTGTAAATATTTTCTCATATCTTGTTTTCTTCTATTATTAGAAATAAATCAGTCTGCATCTGTTAATAACTTTCATTAAAAAGTACATAGTCTAGTACCTGTGTGATGAAAAACATGTATTGCTTGAATCTAAAATCTACTTGAATCTAAAATGCTACATTAAGATGCAATAGATTATGCTCATTTTATTTTGATTTTAGGGCATTATAGGCCATGTATATATAATCTGATTCTTAAAAGGCAGCAAAAAATGTATCGCATTTTTTCATACAAGTACATTGTTTAAACTTAAACAGCCATTATTTTTATTAAATGGATATTTAGTAGTAGTTAGCTTCAACAAAATGGTCTAAAATTGTATTCACACTTAGCCTACAAATTTATAATTTTTTTGCAACTGACAGTAATATAATACATTTAAACCCTCCCTTTATCCTTATATCATCCTTGCTACAACAATGCTGTTACTGCTAAAGCAGCAAAGGACAAACTGAAACTGTTATCTGAATAGAAAAGGCAACCAAACATGACATGAAATTGGACTGAATTCTCAAAAAGACAAGATTATGCAGAATGAAAATTAAAAAAGACCAGTTAACCAGTTGCCTTCTGCCCCTTCTCTTCATTTTGGACCCCATAATTTTTGTGCTTCACCATTTTGCACAGTAATATTTTTTCCCCTCTGGCCACTCAAGTTGTGTTTTACTTTCCTCCACCTGATCCAGTTTTAATGGGAACATAAATAAATAAATAATTATGACAAATTATATTGATGATGTTTAGTTTGTAATCCGTTACCATTTTGAAATCCTCTTCTGTTGCTTGAGTTTTATTTTGTTGCCCAAATCACAATTCCAGACACAAAAAAAGACCCCTACTCTATACATCTTCCCAATTTGATAGAGAATCAAAGAAAAACTTCCAAACAGAAATCAAATGGTGGGTATTTTCTCCCAGTTTGAGGTGTTTTTACTGAAGGTAATGTCTTGTGGTTTGTCTTTGTGTTTCTTTTTTTGGTTTGTTCTTAGGCTAGAAAACTAGCTCAGTCAAATGTATACGTCCATTTTAAAACCATACCAGAAAAATAATTCTGTAACATTTATCTTGCATGCCTTTGCAGTGGACACTCAGAAGCAGCAGAAATAGTTCTGCAGAATGGTGCACTTGTGAATGAAAAGTGCTTTGCTCTGAGTGGGAAGAGATAGCTTTGGAAAAGATCCAGTGAGTGGGTACCTTGTTTGGAAGGTTCCACTATAATCTCTTCCTGCTAATAAATATCATGCCTTTATTTGCTAAATCTAAAAAAGCAGGAGAATAAACTCCTTTGGGAGATTTTCTGACTGGTCTATTGTAAACTGTTGCCCCTCTGTATCCTGTAAAATGATCAGTGTCCCCTGTCTGATACCAGCACCAAATCTTACATTTGTGCTGCTTTTTTTGGTGGAAATTGTCACTATCATGCTACATTTCTTCATCTCTGATGTCCAAGTGTCCTATTGCCACCAAGAAGCAGAAAGAACCTTTCATGAATATTTTTTGTTACACTTTTGAAGCTCAGTCTGATTAGTGAATTGACTGCCAAAAGCGGTTGAACTGCTAATAAAGATACTAACCAAAATCTCAGTTCTAGTGGAAACACAGAGCAAAATCTCAATGTTTACCAAGAAATCAACTGTATGACAATGAATTCTCAAGCAAATTTTGTTTCTGATTGTCTGATGCTGATTCATGTCTATCTGCTATCTGTAAGAGCTTTAACATCAAAGAATGATGCATGTGTTTGAATGTTGTTTGAGGGGAAAAAGGTACTTCTCATTTTTCTCCTTTTTCTCATCTGTGCTGCAGGAAAGAAGAGAAAGTCACATAAAGGTTGGCTACAACTTTCAAATATAAATACTAAGAATCAATATTTCGTATAATTCTTCAGTGACACAGACACATCTAACAACTCCCTTCTAGAAATTAGAACTGTTTTCAATTTCTTTTGGTAACAAACTGGTTTTTAATTCTCTCCTAACTTAGGTTAAATGGTGCGTGTAAACGTTTAAAGTTTCCTTTAAAAAAAAAGTCTATTTATCTTTAAATGAAAAGTTTCCCAGAAACGCTACCTTGGTAGATTAAGATAGAATTATTTTTTTTTTTACATAATCATCATTTTAATTTCTGTCCCTGTACACATTCTGTAATGTGCTTTCTGCTATTATAAAGTATGATCATTGCTATATTTTTGCACAAATTAGCAGTGCATAATTTGTTTTAATACTCACCCCATATGTATGTGCTCTGTCAAAGATATAAAAATCTTGACACAGCTTAGTATGTTGAAAGCAAACAACATTTTTAAACTTAAACTGATCCTGGCACACTTCACATAACAAGCTTCAAAGGCTCCTGGCCCAACAAAAAAGCGTAAAAATATGTTGGCACAGACAGCTGAGACAGATGTTGTCTCCAGCTCCATGCACAGGAATCTGACTGCTAATTAAATAAACCTTTTTTGACTTTGTCGAAATGGTCACTTGGAAAGTCAGCTATGGCTGATAAAGTTTCTGTAAGCTAGAGTATGGTTTTTTTTGCAACTGCTTTCAGCAAGTAGGAAATAGTTTGTATTGTGAATATTAAAGAAAATCATTGTTGCAACAGGAAAGTTGATTGTTCCTGAAAAAGCTGTAGAGGAATTGGGTGAT